GTACTTGCGTTATGTTTCTGGCCTAAGAAGTGAAATGACCCATCACAGCAGGACTCAGTCTTCAGTCCTGTTTCCTTCTAGGTGTCTTTTTGTCCTCTACATTGCAGGTTCTGGACTCTCTGGACACTGTTCTGACCTACTCATCATCATCTGCACAATGACACAGTAAGTTAACAGAAAATATATAAATAATTGCTCATAACAGAAGAGAACTGGAAGCTCTAATTTTGTCCACTTGGAGGCGCTCTGTCATTGATCACAATTTGTTGTCCATTATCACTGCAGTGCACTCGGTGGTGAGACCATTAAATCCAAAACCTTCTTAAACCCTCTCAGACGGCTCTCATTAGCCTTACAGTGATTAAAGAGGAACTTGAGAGATTTGAGTGAAGAGCTCGAGTGAAAGGCCAGAAGACGAGTGGTTTCAAACGTTGGTATTTTTATAACAATATATATATTATAGAGAGGGAGAGAGAGAGAGAGAGAAGTATTAAGAACAACATCTGATACAAATGCCACAGGAAAGAAATGCTCAATTGCAGTGTGGAGCGAGAAAACCAACAATAAGTACGAATGCAAACCGAAACAAGGCACAAAAACCGTTGATAAAATAATGCTGTATACAAAACACAGTGCAATGAGAGTGCAATAAAAGTGATCTATTCAGAATGTGCCATAACAAGGAGTGATATAAACAAATAAAAAAAAAAACACTAATACAACACTTTGGCAGAACGTAAGATATATTCCAGAAACTCATTTTAAACAAATAAATTAATTCATGGTCAACAGTGTCGTCTAAAATCTTATGTACATTTTTACACAACTGTATCAAAAGTATTTGTATGAAAACATATCTACAGCACTTTCACACCACAAACAGTATTTCACACTCGTTTCCTCTCACTAACACACACGCAACCTAATCCAGCCTGATCCTCCACTGCTCAGACGGCTGGAGGAACTTTTATTCTGGATTCTGCTTCTAATCCACATCAGTGAGGTAATGTTACAGTAAAGAGAGTCTGTGCTTTACAGACATCGATGTGATGGAGGAGAGAAACAGTGGCTGTTTTTGGGATTATCATTTTATTTGAAGGACTCTAAGATTATTACAGATTTCTGCATAATTCAGTGGTCGAGATGTGAACATTCAGAGTGGGTTTGGTGTGAAATGGTTGATTGTAGAGACTCAGATACAGTGGTGGTGATAGGAACCAGGGGTCACCATGACTACAACACAAATATAGCCATTTTATTGACGATCCAAAACCACCAGTGAACCTACACGAGTCTTCTAAGTTTAGAAAAGGAATGGAATGGAAAGTTTTTTGGGGGGACTATTTTGCCTTATAAATGTGTTTTAGGCCAAAATGATCCTGTATTTGTAACCATTTCATGTAGTAACTTTCTGTGAGGGAGCTTTTAGAGGTGGACGTCTGGTTCCTATCACCACCACTGTGAACAGTTCTGACTCGGTAAATTTCTGTAGAACAGATCATTTTATACCAAACCACTCTGAATGACTCCGTTTACATCTTAACCGTTTAATTATGCAGGAATTTTGAGAAATCGAGAAGATTTTGGCCTAAAACATTTTTAAATACCAGATGGCAAGCGTCTATCAGTCTGCAAGCTTCAGAATGTCAGCAACCTGCTGACTGTGTGCCACTGCTGGCCCTCGGACCACCCAGATTTTTTAAGGTTTAACTAGGTTTTAATCTCATCTGACAGATTTTAAATGCACACAGCCTTTTATTTTGGAAAATAAAACTAAGACAAATATTACAAAAACTGAGAGAAAATATATAAAAGTCCTAATATAAACTCATTTTGTTACTGACGGTGTGCTAGAGTGGTTTCAGCTGTATGACTTGCTTTATTTGTAATATTGCTATTAAACTTATTTACAAAGGTTACGAAAGAAAGAAATTAAGGAAAAGTAAGTAAACGAGACTGAGAGTGGAAAATGAGCGCTGAAAAGTGGAATTCTGTCTAACACTCTGCTTGAGCACCAGTGGGCTGCCTGGTGAACGCTGAGCAAAAAGCCAGTGGGCCGCCAGCTTTGCTCTCAGTGGGCCAACAGTGGCCCGCTATCCTCTCACTATTTGGGGATGTACATGCAGGGTGTTCTAAGGCAAAACAGTCCCCAACACTCAGATTTATCACCATTTTAGCATCATCAATAATTCATATAAACTCAAAAGACTCGTGTAGGTTCACTGGTGGTTTTGGATGGTAAATAAAATGTCTATATTTGTGTTGCAGTCATGGCAACCCCTGCTTCCCATCACCACCACTGTAAAGAAATCTTAAGCTTCTCTACATTTGACATGAACCCAGTCTGAATGGCTATCCTTACACGCAGATGACTGAATAATGCAGAAATTTTGAAAAATCTATGGAATTTTCCATTTAAATGTTTATAGAGTTTGACTGTAGACCAGCTACCTGCTTTAACATGCAACACTCTGCATCTGGTTCTTTATGAACGGTCAAAATCATCAAAATGACAAATATTGCGTTTCGTATAAGTGTTAATACAGTATCATCAGGGACCCTTAAATAAAAGCATGAGAACATACGGCGGTCTAAAGCAGCTCTTCCTCCTCTGTTAACATGACAGCAAAGCGCTTATGTTTCCTTCTCATGTGGTTTAGCAGAAACTAGAGAACCTATTTATTATAAGTATGTTACATATTGCAGCTGTTTACACCTTTCCTGTGTCACAACACTCTGACGTCATTAATATACAGTGTAATATCTCACACACATACACACACACACACAGAGCGTTCCACCTCCCTGAGATGATACTGCACACTTCAGTCCACACGTGAGGTTGTTATTGTTTCCCCCGAACAGAGCAAGTCTGTACCTGGAACGTTCAGTCATCTAACAAACAAGACAAAGCAAACGGATAGTTTTGGGCCATTCAGAGAGTGTAGAGAGGAAAACTGCCACTCAGTAATGTATTCTAGGTCTGTCGGATGCTAGAGGGCGCTCCGAGTCCAAGATGAATGCTTTTCTGTGGAGCTTTTTGTGTGTAACTTTATAAAAATTAAAGGAAGTTCCCGCATAAACGGCTACAAACAAGTTTAACCCTTCTGTTATGCTGCGAGTCAAAATGACTCGTTTCAAAGTTTAAAAATAAAGGAAAAAATATTTCTAATAGTTTTTAGGGAATGTAATCTTTTCTGCTGGATTTTTGGCTCATTTAGTCTGATTTGAATTGAAAGAGTCAGTTTGACCCGGAACAGGAGTGTTTGTTTGTATTAGTCAACATGTCCCCATGACGGAAAATATGTCTAAATTGTTAAAAAAAAGTCTAAATAAGAATAAAAAACTGTGTTGAACATCTACTTTTTTCCAATGTACAGAAAAAAACATATGAAATGAATTTTTTAATTAAAAAACGAGCGACTCATTATAAATAAACTATGATCTGCACTGGGTGAATAACATGATTATTCTAAATATTGATTCCATTGATATTCATTGAGCTAAAGATCAAGTTTATGTAACTTCTTTCAGATGGTCAAACATGCATTGGGTTAGTCTGACCGGTGAACGTTATTGCTGTTTCTTACAGCTGAACATAACAGGAGGGTTAATTCCTTAATTGTTTTAACTCTTTATTCACCCCCATTCATTACGAACTCACTTTGCTTATCTAGAGCCGCTCAATACAGATCAGCCTCAGCTCAATCACGTAACACTGCTTCCAGGGTCAAAAGCAACCACCAAGCAGCTGCTAACAACGCTGTACTTTTTGTATGCATGATGTAAATTATTTAGAGCGCTTAAAAAGTAATAAGGAGTATTTTAACTACATAAATGACAGCAATACTTAATTCAGGAGGTAGAACCAAAATTTAGAAGTTGAATAAAAAGAGAATTCCTTTGAAATCTATGATTTTGTGATCGATCAGGTTCGTTTGGATCCTGTTCACATCGCTCAAGTGATGAGACACTGGCAAAGCGAGTTTTTTGCACCACGTGCAGAGGACATGCACCGTAAAGCTGCGGTCACATCGGACTTGTTTCTTCGCCAGGGTGGAACAAAACTCTCAGGAGATCGCGAGTTTGGTCACCGGTGATGCCACAGCCAAGACAGCACAACTGACCTTGCTCTCTCTGGGCGAGCAGAGTGGGTGTAACAGAAAGCTAACGTAACAGAACTGGCAGTTAGCATTATTGTACAAGCATGCTGAGCTGTCCAATGATGTCACACTTGGCGGTGGTAGTATTGTGTGACTGGGGGAGACTAAACTGGGGAGAAAATTGGGGAAAATGATAAAAAAAAAATCTCTGGGTTGTCAAATTGTGATCAACTGGCACATACATTACTTTTTAGTAATGTTTAACATCTTCTACCACTTTTTAAACAAGAAGCACTTTTTTAGATATGTCCAAATGAGACTCAATAAACTGAGAACCTTAAAAATGACTAGGCAGAGATACAGCTTCTGAAATTTTTCTGCAGCTCCCCAGGAGACCTAGACGAATTTGTTGTGAAATTAACTGCTACGGGAGTCAAATTTATTTATTACGTTCCCATGTTTTTCACCATTCAAATGAAACGTGTGCAATGTGACCGCAGTCTAAGGGCAATGAAGAAAAGAAAAAAAAGAGGGACAGAGAGCAGAAAAGACATTTAACCTCGTAGGCATCAACAACTGACAGAGTGAGCTATAGCAAGTGGCTTCATTCCAGAAAAAACTTCACAACCTTCACAGCTTCACACAGTGACTGACACATTTTACAGCATCCCCTGCACTGATTAACACCATGGATTGTCCCAGTAACTAAGGTGCCGCTCCAGATTCACATCCCTGCCAGAAAAAGCCACAGCTCTGAGGAGAATAGGGAACATGTTGAGGACACTGGAGAGACGTTGGACATTGATCTGTATGTAAACAAAGCAAAATGTTAATAATAGTGTCCAGTCCGGAGAGAGAAACTGGACTGTATGGTCCATCTGAGTGATGACAGCATAATGAAGATCACCACTACTGCTCCCGTCGGTCTAATGGCCATCTTGGAGTGAACCTCACCTTCGTTATCTTATGGTCAGACACTGTGGACTTAAGCGGGCTGTGTGACGCTGTGGCCTGGCGGACGCTCAGCCTTATCTCAGCGTCTTGTAATACACTTCAGTGGTCAGACCGACTCTGGCTAAACATCACTCTGTTGTCTCGTAGCGTCCGTGTGCCTTCTCCTCCCCTCCTCACTTTGCGCTGGATATGGTGGGCTGCTCGGCGTACCAGTGTGTTGCAGGGTCCGGCAAGCCGCTCCCCAGAGGAAGGGCGATGAAGGGTGTCCCCGCGCTTACCCCGCCCACGCCCACCACGGGCACCGGGTAGGGGTGGTGGTGATGATGATGGGGGCCGGGAAGGCCCTCGGTCGTCCGCCCGATATGGATCTCGTCCTCCTCGGCGTCGCCGGTGGTCTTGCGGTACACTGGGTTGTCGAAGTTCATGCTCTTGGTGCTCCGGCGCCTCCAGTTGCGGTAGATGAGGTAAACGGCAGTGCACAGCAGGCCCAGCACCACTGTGGCAACAATAGGAACTGCATGCGTTTAACATACAGCCACGGGGAGGGGGGAGATGTTAACGAGCGCTTGAACAGGCGGCAGAATGACTGACAAGACAGGCAGAGAGGACGGGGAGACGAGAGAAGACCAGAAGACAGAGGAAAGAGAAAGGTGGGGCGACAGGCCTGGGTGAAAGTAATATTAATGATCAAAATAACGTTTTTTATACTGACAACGCCCATTTGAGCTATTTCCATTAGATATACTGTTCTGTTCCTCAGTCTGAGGGGTTTCAGCTATAATGGGACGGATTTGGGTTGTACTGGAAGGAGTTTCAGTTGTACTGGGAGGGATTTTAGGTGTGCTGGGAGGAGTTTTGGTTGTACTGGGAGGGGTTTTGGTTGTACTAGGAGGAGTTTGGTTGTACTGGGAGGGGTTTTGGTTGTAATGGGAGGGATTTCAGTTGTACTTGGAAGGGTTTGGGGTGTGCTGGGGGGACTTTTAGTTGTACTGTGAGGAGTTTTGGTTTCACTGGGAGAAGTTTCGGTTGTACTGGGAGGGGTTTCAGTTGTGCTGGGAGGAGTTTTGGTTGTACTGAGAGGGGTTTCTGTTGTACTGGGAGGGATTTTGGTTGTCCTGGGAGGAGTTTGGCTGTACTGGGAGGTGTTTCTGTTGTACTGGGAGGAGTTTTCGTTGTACTGGGAGGGGTTTTGGTTGTACTGGGATGAGTTTGGCTGTACTTGGAGGGGTTTGGTTGTACTGGGAGGAGTTTGGGTTGTCAAATTTGTCTTGGAGAGACGGATGTGTTTACGCTGCTATAACGTGGCTCCTGAAGTGGTTTGAGTGATCGGATTTGCATCTGTTTTAAACGCGTGTTGGGTGCCTTTACACCTGCGTTTTTATGTGTCTTGGCCTCACCCAGATATAATCCTGATACTCAAGGTGCATGAAGTGACTGGGTGTAATGGTTACACATATGTACCATCCTGCACACTGCTGTCACTGAGGTTTGTTGAAAAAGCTTGAAAATAGTTGCAGTGTTCAAAGCACTTGCTGAGGTTTGCTAAAGTTTACTGATTAGGAAGAATTAAACCTGGTGAAAGCGCAATAAGTGCTAGTTTCTATAGTCTGTCCATTTAGTGTGATGTGTGACGTGGAGTCAATCTTCCTGCCCATCCAGATCTCCTCTGCTTCTTCTATTCTTTGCAAAAGTTGTCATCTGAACGCAGCCTGACTGCAAACTCCCACAATCTCTCAAACCTCAACTGGTGGAAGAACATCTTCTTATATAGCCTCTAAACTCTGGAATAGCATTCAGGAGAATATTAGGAATGCAGGTGTGTTTAAATGCAGATTAAAACATATCTGGTTTGTAATTGTGCTTATTGTGTTTTTATTACTACTTATACTCCACTGGAATGGACTTTGAGATTTTGTAGCTAAAATGAATCCCCAGCAGCATTTTTGTCTTTTTATTCTAATGTTTGTTCACAATAGCTCCACAATAACTCCCAAAACGGCCAGAAGCCACCGACGGGTGCTTACTTTTATCACACCCTTCTGTAACCGAAGAATAACATGGCCAGTTTGCATTGAAGTCTATGTAGCTACTGAGTAGTAAGCCCTATGGCTGGGAATCTAAGGGCCTACAGGTGCTGACGGTAAAGGTCCAGTAAGTTCAATGTTTTATTGGTATTTTTACTGCATCTTTACATACAGAAAAACAGGTTACGGTAAGATATTTGGCCATATCGCTCAGCCCCAAGCCAGTCTGAGAGAGGAAAGAGAGAAAGCGGCAGAGGAAGAGCAGATACAGTGGAAAGAGGTGAGGAGCGTCGAGTGAACTTGAAAGCGTATAAAATGAAAAGGAAAGAGAGAAAGACATGCAGGAGGAGAGAGACGAGTGAAAGAAGAGCGAAAAGGACAGACGAGTGGAATGAACAGTAAAGAGAGACTGGATCGGAGCGCAGACAGGAGCTTGTTTCTCATGCAATTTGAAAACAGAGCAATGAACAGGCACAGATACGGAATCATTTAAACTCTTTCAGACCTACACTGACCATCAACAGTCTGAGGACAGCTAGTGTTTACAGAATGAACAGGTTTTCTTTGAGTACTGAGAATGCAAAAGACTACTGTTGTGACATCAGCACTCATCTGCGCTCATAAATGTCAGGTGTTTAAACCAGCTTTGGGCCAAAAGAGGATCAGCACACAGCTGCTTCAGGCTAACAAAAGCTTTGCAGGGATTTTTTCATAATTGAAAACTAATGGTGAAAATCAAACATCGCTTAGAAAATCTCCAATGAAGGCAAGCTGTCCCCAGAAACTTTGATGGGCAGTTTTTTAATTAAGGCCTTGTTTTTAATACCTTCGGGCCAGATATGTGTGGATATATGGGTATGTATGAGCAGAGGTGCAGTGCAAAGCGTGCCTTGATGCGACCGCAATATGCTCTCGCAATGACCCTTATTCATCAAAGCTGCTCACAGTCAAATCATTGACAGTGCATTCTGGTTCTCACGTCTGGTAGGAGTGCGTGTAAATTTGAGTGTAACATTTTAACAGCCTAAAAAAAGCCTGATTTGCAGTTAACTAATCAAAATTGCTGTCACATCAATGATATCAGCAGTAATAGTAATAATAGAAAATAATGATAGTACTAATAACTTTTTGCACACAGCCGTTGTACTAAAGTGGATGTACTTCTTTTTATGTGCACGCTGATATAAACAAATGCTGCAATTGTATTGTTACATTCTAAGACTTTTGCTTAATAGTACTGATACCATAAATAACTACCACCCTAAAATACAAAACACAGATTACTCAGTACAGTAGAAGCTCATATACTGCAGTATTATTATTATGGCTTATGAAATTTCTGAAAATGATCATACAACAAAATCACATCACTCTACTCTTGGAAAAAAGATACAACATTTTGTTAATTTCTCATTTCATCGTTTTCAATTGTAATTTTAACCCTACAAAGATATTTGAGCTCTGGCCAATAGGGGGCAGGAGCACACGACCCCAAACTCCACCTATGAGGACATACATTGGCTCCTGAGCCTGTTTAAGTATTTTTCTTTTATTGGCTCACTATGGCTGTATGTCATACATATCGATATGTAAATAAGTGTGCGGGCGCTTGTTTTCACGCACTGAAACTGATTTATCAATTGCGGCCGAATCATAATTGGTTCCATTGTCGTACGACAGTTTCACGAATCAGACGCAGAGCAGTTCTTACATCATTCAGGACATACAGCTTTGATGAATAAAGGCCTGTGTTTGAAATTATTATTATTATTGTTATTATCATTATTATTATTGTTATTATTAAGAAATACATAATTTGGAGCAGGAGGTTTATGTATACACAAGTTGCTATAACTAAATGATGTTGGTACATATTACAAATGAATGGAATTAGAATGTAGCAGAAAAGCAGTAATACGGTCACTATTGCGTTGATATACACTGATATGCATTGACACAATGTTACACTCCCCTCCCCCACGTTTTAAAGTATATTAATATAATAATTTTAAATATGTATATATTTCTAAGCCGCTTATCTTCCTGGGTCAAGGGGGGGGTGGCATGGGGGTGATGGATGGGGGCGCTTGAGCCTACCCCATATAGAGAAAAGAGAAACGCATTTTGCTGTTTTTTTTGCATGTTTAGGCTCGTGCATCAGGTTTATGTATAACGTGCAGGCAAATTTGCTCCTGCAACTGCCACAAAACGTTGTGTACATGGGGCCCTTTGTGTTTTGCATGATCATGTTGGCATTTTTGAATATAATAATGTAAAAGTTTGGACGCCCCTGGTCAAAATACATGTTTTGTTGATTTTCTAAGTGAAAATAAGTTAACACCATCCTCCACAGAGAACACACTTCTGCAGATTTTAATGCACAATTACTGTTTTTTACTGCTTTACTGTGTTAACTGACTGTCCTCTACAGATGCGACAGATGAAAACGGTGAAATCTGGAGAGTTCTCTTAACCTCGTGCGGACTCTCCTCTGCATTGCAGTACACAGAGTCTCGCTTGATCATTGTCAACTGTCCTGTGATACTGCCAAGAGAGTTGTGTGCGATAAATCTAAAATCAGTGTACAGCGGACACACACACAAACTCTGAATTTCCATACAGCTGAGTGTGCTGCCCCAGGCTCAGTGCACTCGCGGTTAGATCAGAGAGGGAGACAGCTGGACACTTAAAATAGCCACACGAGCAGCACCTGGGGGGGCAGAGAGCAGCAGGACGTACCTATGGGGATTACAACACCAAGCACAGCCACCGTCAGACTGTGGCCCAGGAGGAGCAGATCATTGCCAGCTGGAGAAAAGAGAGAAAAACAGAGGAAGAGAATTGAAACAAAAGCAAATGGATTAATATTTTGAAAACCATCGTTGACTTCTATCAACCAATCAGCTCTCAGTAGCAGTAATGCTATCCTATCAGCACTCAGTAGCAGTAATGCTACCATCCTACTGCTCAAAACAAGAAAAAATAAATAAATTTAACTAAAATTTAACTAATCAAAATTAACTTCTTGCTTTCCAAAATTAAAGCAAATACACAAATGTTTAATATAAAAACATTCATTTGTTATTAATAATCACAATAATCTTAATAAACAATTCTTTCACCAAGCATCAGGCTGTGGTTGCCAAGTGCCATAATGTTCTAAATACAACCCCATTTCCAAAAAAGTTGGGACGCTGGGCAAAATGTAAATAAAAACAAAATGCAGTAAAAACGATTTGAACCCTATATTTCATTGAAAATATTACAAAGACAACATATCAAATGTTGAAACTGGGAAATTTTGTGTTTTGTGTTTGTGTAAAATATTTGCCCATTTTGAATTTGATTCCAACAACACGTTCCAAAAGAGTTGTGACGGGTCAACAAAAGGCTGGTAAAGTTGTGTAATGCTAAAAAACACCAGGTGGTTGATTGGCAACAGGTCAGTAACATGATTGGGTATAAAAAGAGCATCTCAGAAGTTAAGATGAGGAGGGTTCACCACTCTGTGAAAGACTGCACGATCAAATAGTGCAACAATTCAAGAATAACGTTTCTCAACATAAAATAGCAAAGAACTTTTCATCATCTACAGTACATAATATCATTAAAAGATTCAGAGAATCAGGAGAAATCTCTGTATGTAAGGGACGAGGCCAAAAACCAGTATTTGCTGGCCATGATCTTGGGGCCCTCAGATGGCACTGCATTAAAACCAGACATGATTCTGTAGTGGAAATCACTGCATGAGCTCAGAAACACTTCTGAAAATCACTGTCTGTGTAAACAGTTCATCACTGCATCCACAAATGGAAGTTAAAACTCTAAAACACAAAGAAAAAACTGCACATAAACAGGATCTAGAAATGCTGCCACCTTCTCTGGGTCTGGGCACATTTAAATGGACTGAGGGGAAGTAGAAAAGTGTCCTGTGGTCTGATGAATCAACATTTGAAATTCTTTTTTGGAAATCATGGACACTGCGTCCTCCGGGCTAAAGACCACTCAGCTTGTTATCAGTGCACAGTTCAAAAGCTAGTATTCATGATGGTGTAGGGGTGCATTAGTGCACATGGCATGGCTGACGTGCTCATCTGTGAAGGCACCATTAATGCTGAACAATAGATACGTTTTGGCAACATATGATGCCATCCAGACGACGTCTTTTTCAGGGTAGGCCTTGATTATTTCAGTAAGACAATGACAAACCACATTCTGCATGTATTACAACAGCATGGCCCCGTATTAAAAGAGTCCGGGTGCTAAACTGACCTGCCTGCAGTCCAGATCTGTCACCACTGATAACATTTGGGCACATTATGAAATGAAAAATACAACAAAAGTGACACTGAACTGTTGAGCAGCTGAAATCCTATAACAAACAAGAACAGAAAAACATTTCACTTTCAAAACTACAGCAGTGTCTCCTCAGTTCCCAAATGCTTACAGAGTGTTGTTAAAAGAAGAGGTGATGAAACACAGTGGTAAACAGGCCCCCATCCCAACTTTTTTGGAACGCCTTGTTGGCATCAAATTCAAAATGATATTTTTCAAAAAACAATAAAATTTCTCAGTTTCAACATTTGATATGTTGTCTTTGGAGTATTTTCCTTTAAAAACATGGTTTACATGATTTGCATATCATTGCATTCTAGTTTTATTTACATTCTGCACAGCGTCCCAACTTTTTTGGAAATGGGGTTGTATTTTGTGAACAGCACAAAGGTTGCCAATAATTTGCCACATTCATACAGAACTCAATTGATCGGAGTGGTCATGTGTGTCCGCTGAGCAATTTACATCAGTTTCGAACGCTGCTCAGCCAGTCAGGTTTTAAAGCCGCACTATTCGTTTCATAAAACATAATCTAAAATCTAATATTAACAGACTCAGCTCAGGGACGTTTCCCCAGTGTATGAAGAAATACTCCTCAAACATGTTTCATCATTCATCTTGCGCATGAGAGGAGAGGCTTTGATTCAGCAGACAGACAGACAGACACTGCGCCGAGTCAAACACTTTAAACATAACTGGATTTCATTCATCGCCTCATAACTAGATTCAGAACACTGGAGAAACAGCTCTCCTGCAGCAGATACAATAAAACCACACGAAACAGAGGGAAAACAAAAGCATTACTCTATCAGTGTGTCCTACATCGATGAAGCTACTCTGCTGGAAGTCAGTGATATATGAGGAATGAAGTTAAATTAGAGACACTCAAACTCTACACAAGCCGCCGTACTGACGGAAACACACTAAGCTTGTTAGCATTTTAAAACTAAGCACATTCAGTGATCAAAGGCATTAAATCACTATTCAGTGTAATTTTAAACAATACAAACAATACAGTTACAAAATAAATGTCTTGCTGATACTTAAATATTAATGCCATTTTGTTATGCTCTTTTGATGTCATAACAAGATACATGTAATTACAGTTACAGTCGACTCTGCACTTCTGACTTGTTTGTTTGCTGTCAATGTAAAGCCAGTAAAACAGCACAGTGTGCACAACAGAACATCTACATCAAATCATAATAAAACATTTTCCACTTACAATCACAAATAATCAGTTCTCCACTTCTTTTACTGAATTTTGAGAGAGTCATAAAAGAAACTACAGCTTGATTTTGTTACCCCAGAGATAACAGGATGTTCTCCAAACTTCATTCTTAATATTTATTAGCACTTCATTCTGGATATGAATGTTATTAGAACTTTATTTAATTTTATTAGAACTTTATTCTGGATAATTTTATCAGAACTTTTTTTAAGATACTAATTTTATTAGTACTTAATTTTGGAGATTAATTTTATTAGAACTTCATTCTGGATATTAAGTTTATTAGAACTTCTTTATGGATATACATTTTATAAGTACTTAATTTTGGATAATAATTTTATTAGAACTTCATTCTTGATTATTTTACAATCATCTACAGCTCGGTTCATCATTCTGGACATATCTAATATTTCTTCATCTTTTACAGCTTATATATTACTGAATGCAGAAGATTAGATTCATTTTGGATGAAAAGGAAAGGTGGTGTGAAGTGCAGGTCACTCACAGTGATGAGACAGGTTGCTAGTGTCTCCTGACGCAGTGATCAGTAGCACCGCCGGGCTCTGGGAGGCAGCTGCCGTTTTGTTGGAGGGTCCGACTCGGTCGTCTGGGGTGGGGCTGGGTGAGAGATGGGTTGGATGACCTGTGTCAGGCGCACTGTCTGCCTGAGAGGTCACTGTGTCCGGCGCATCAGGGGAATCTGAGGGTAGACCGGCGCCAGCCTCTATCATCGTCTCCATGGTAACATTACTGGAGATGCTTGGGGGTGGGGCTGTGACATTTTGGACTGGAAACAAAGCAAAAGAGACACAGTTAGTATTAGTGAGAAAGTATTACATCATTATATCATTATTCCATGCACAGGTATAGTGAGAGGTTAAACCTTTCTAGTGCTAATTTCTGCTTGTGCCTCTACGGGATTTCTACTATGGTATGTTATGTTATCACTAAGCTAAACCATTAACTTAAATCCATTAACTTTTTTGGCTGTTCTACATTAAACATGTACATCTGAAGTTTGTAAAGACATTTCATATGTTTAATGTGAAACTTGTAACAGACACTAACATATATTTGAGCTTGTATGTATCGGTTTTATAATGACTCTTCCAGTAAAGAGTTCTGGAATAGAGCTGCTGCCGCTGTTTTCCATTCCTAACAACAAACCCAAACCTGCTCAGACTACAACTCATATTCACAATCAGTGATGTATCACAATTGGTCTATGGACGTGATGTTTTTTTCTCACAAAACTGGCCCTACCTCTTGTAATCAAACTGCGATTGGTTGATGCCAATCTCACTACGTAATTATGTTGGTAGTTAATCTAAAGTGTAACCCTGCCTTCACACCGGCAGCAACGTGGCGCTACAAAGCTGCCGGAGGTCATTTATTTCCAACGAGAGCTGGTGATTTCCGGCGAGTTAGCGACACGAAAAAGTTGAGCAAAGTTGAACTTTATGCCAACAAGGAGCGAATCATTGTGGCGATTACCAATAGGTATTGAGCATTCAGCAGCGTAGTACGCGCTTTAACTCCACCACAGTGAAAGAGTACGCTCCGTTTTTGCTTCAAAGATAATTTTTACTAGAGGTGGAATAATTGTGGTGGTGCTTTCACCAATCACAAAGACCAAACAGCGTTTTTCTCACAAACTGACTGCACAGACACGGGGATTATATAAAAATAAGCACATAAGCGATTTATCACCAGGATTTTTAATTTTAGCGGGAATGCATCTGATTTGTGCTTGGCATCAGCGAAACCATGGCAACTAATGATCAAATGGAGTTCAGAAACGCCCCCAGGCCATGAGCAATCAGCGATTTGGGTAACAAGAGACGAAGAGTCGATGCAGGTGTGAACACAGGGTAAGGCTGTCAGTCCAGCTCCTGAAGTCCTAACTCGCTTGGTTAAATGCCACAAAGAAGAAATGTGACTGTACTCTTTTTTGTGATGGGCATTTCAAGAATTTAACCCTTTTGTTCCCAATCAAAACTTTTCACTTACATAAGAGTTTTATTACAGTGCTTACCGAGATTAAATACAACAAGTATGATAAACAAAAATGAATGAAAAATTATAGACTTTATATTATTTTTGAGTTCAAAGAAAATACTATGCCTTCCCTAAAAGCCCTGAGGATTCCCTCTGGTCACAGTAGAGCGAATCTCTGCTGAAAGAACTTTTTATGTTGTCTGACTGCTTTCCTGTCTGGAAGTACTCTGCGAATGTCAGCCTTCATTTGTTTCATTTCCAGAAGTGTTCTTTTTTCAGGAGATCTTTCTGAGGAGATCAGACATAAGATACTCCACTTGCATAAGGAATGAGAAAGTAAGTGGAAAAAACTGGTTTAAAAAAGAGTTTAAAAAAATGATTAAAAGCTACAGAGAAAATGGGACTCATAACAACCACCTGGAAGACCTGGTAGACAGCAAAACTGCCCCCATCAGATAAACAGCACTTAAATCATTTTAGAATCGGATCATGAGAAGCAGAAAATAAAACTTCTAAGACTGAACTTTGGAGGTGTGTCTGCAGATTTCTCTGAGAATCTGAAAGTGCGTCTCCTCAAAAGAATGGAAGCTGGAATAAAGATAAACAGTGATGCACTAAACGCTGAAAAATATTATATTTAGTTGTTGATGCTTCTGTGTAATTTTTGATGCTTTCTTAGCTTCGTATGTTGGATCTGGCATCATAATTGCCACACATTTATGTAGAAACGAGTCATGTATGCAAATGTACTATACTTGTTCTGACACTGTCCAATCAATTAACTTCATAACTGTAGTATGAAATTCATTCAAATTATTTTATTTTCTAAGATCCTTTCAAGCAACGACAGTCAGCAGCATCAGAATACATCAGTACACACTGGTGGCTGTGGAACTTTGACTGACTTTGATTGAAGTTTCTCCGTTATGATAAAAGACAAATGCAAGACCAAATAACTGATGACAAATAAATCAAACAATGACAGATCAAAGAAAAAAATATAAAAAAATTAATTAACTGTTGCATTGTCACTTCAATTTTCAAATCTTTTGGCAGGATATTAGTCCATTTATCAAATCACTCGCATTTCCATCTCTTCGCTTCATTTCATTTGTTCTTTCAATCTCTGATAATGGTGACTTATTATCCACAGTGGCGTTCTCGGTGCTGTTTGCATATAAATGACTCAGGGGGAACTGTGTGATCACATAATGAAGGCTGTGGGAATAATATGTAAATATGTGAGAAAAAAAAGTCACCATAAACCAGTGCATGTCAAAGTGAACAGTTTAGCTTAGCATCTGATATGAATCGATATTCAGTGCCTTCTTCAACAGTCTTCACAGCAGGTTGAGGCCCCATACAGGCCTTTTACCCTCTGTATCAATGCTTAGTTTTATGGAGGTCATTCCGTCTAAGGCTGGGTTTATACAGTGACACTTTCATGCAACTTTAGCTGCTTGAAATCCACATGAAACTAAATTGCACTTGAGTTGCACAATGTAAAGTGTCCTGCAACTCGCTTGAAACTCAGCTGCAACAGTTGCAAGCAACTGAACTGCATGAAATAAGTTTCATAAAACAATCAAAACGAGAATAACGCATCACGTGATCATAACAAACGACATAGTTCCAAACTACTGATCTCACCAGATCTATAGACAAGAAAATCAAACAGAAGATGCCTACTACACATTAACTTTCAAAGGCTTGTGTTAACATGTAAGCACATATTTTGTGTTTTGTGTGTTTGTGTGTCTCTCTCTCTTGTGGTCCCTCCCTTTACAGATGTACCTGCTTTGCCATCGTTCATGTGAGGAGGACCTCTGAATTAGAGGCCTGGCTGGTGTAGCTGGGGGAGGAACCTAAGTCTTAAAAGGAGGCCTTCAGGATGGCTGAAGGGAGAAAGGACTGATCATGTGTAGTGCTTCTTTTAACTTGGTTTACGAGAGTTTCTCTTGTGTTGGGGAAGTACTTTAGTTTTGGTATTTTACCTGCACATTTTTAAGTTTTGTTTTACAAGAGAATATTTGATTATTTGTACCACCTGGGGTTTCAAACAGGTAAGAGGGGTGCACCTATACATTCTCAACACGTAGAAGTCTACTCTGTCTAGTTCCCTAGGTCAGAGGGCACCGCCACATGCACTTTTGAGTGCTGACCAGGGAAGTGTAGAGTAGTTAGCTTTTGTTTCCTTTTTTGGGTCAGTTAAGTACTTTTTCGTTTCAGGGTAGGCAAGCGTGGTTAGGTTTTGTTTTGTTCTTTTCTTTGGTGCTGTCCAGTGTGATTCTTCCAGTATGGTAATCTGTATTACAGCACAGCGTTTTATTGTGGTTGGTTTGAATAAAATGGCTTTAAAAGCTCTACTGGACGGCTCCTGAAGCTTTTAGCCCATCATCACCAGTTCAGTCTTTAAATGCCATATGTTACTGATCCCACAGCGATCTAGACAAAATGTGGGGTCATAACACTTGACATACACACAACAGACGAAACACTCAAATATAAAGTAAAGAAGTTCAGGCGAATAAAAGACTGATATATAGACGGGGCTGGGGTGGGGTGGCAGCAATGACAGCTGGGAAAAACATAAAAAACAGACATGACTTTATACAGCGAGGGCGATACGAGCTGTTATTTTGGCTAACTAGTGGAGTTTGACACTGAATGTGTCGCATGCAACTTTGTTTATGAATTGCTTTGTGTAACTGTCAAGTTGTAAGCAACTTACAACATGCAACTAGTTGCATTAAAGTTTCACCGTGTAAAGCCGGCATAAAGCTTTGTGTAATTAAATCCTGTTGTCAGCCACAGTGCAGCAGATTCTTTAATAAAGACGGAAAAAAATGAAATGATGAAGCAAAGAGATAATGTGATAACTGGACTAATCAACTTATATGGCTTGATAATTATGGTAATTATGATCTGAACTATTTACAAAAAAAACCTTAAAACACACTTTGTTCTTTCTTTTTTACTGCAATTTACAAATAAAATCTGCAAATTTACAATATCTGTCTCTGTCAATCTGTCACTGTTATCGAATCATGCTTTTCTTTCTTCTCCACCCCTCATTTATTTAATGTCAGTCAAAACGGCCATTAAATACAACTTATTCATTTTTTCAGGTGGTATTTCTGAGGAGATTAGACATAAGATAAAACACTTACATAAGAAAGGAAGGTTAAAGAAAGGTAAGAGAACTTCTAAGACTGAATTTTGGAGGTGTGGAAGAATATTCCTGCAGATTTCCTGACATTGAAAAATGTATAAACTGTGTCTGTTTTGACTGGAAACCAAACAAATGACGGGTGGTCCCTGACTTCTGCACAGTACTGTATGGCATCATAACTAACCAGACAATCTGAACCTTAACAAGATTACTGTAGAACTCCATTGGGGATTTTCTGAGTAAAGCCGAACCAATCGGGGCATAAGGAGATTTCTCAGGAGTTCTTTAGGGGTGGAATGAGAAGTCTCAATAACTTAAACACTGAAGCTTCCAGAAAGAACACAGAAGCACTGCACAGCAGCTTTAAGAGGCGCTGGGATTTCTGTGAAAATGAACCGTCTGAACTCAGCACAGCGTCTAATCCCAGCGCAGTGTGAGAATGTGATTATTCCAGCAGCGTAGAGCACAAAATGCACAAAATACACAGCTGTCTGTATATATATGTCATCTATATGGCAGTAAATGTTTAAATAAGATATTTAGATATTTGCAGTGTGTTGCCTTATCTATATATCGCTGCTGTCTGAACAAAACCGTGTATCTCAAAATGGTAACTTTACAGGAGAAGCAAAAAACATACTTTACTTTTAATGTAAGTCAATGGAACCAGAATTTTCTTTTGATCCATTCATTGTGATATTTACATACAATGTAAAGACCAACTGGCATTTTCAAATTATGTAAAAACTAAACAACGAAAAAAAATGGAGGTGCAAGGTTTTGTTCCGACAGCAGTGATATACATACATATATATACATACATACATATATGTGTGTATGTATGTATATATATACTACAGCTACTTAAATTATTAACAAACTTTCTGGTGTTACTCAGTTGATTATCAGCAACATTATGGTTAGGGTTATGGTCAACATGGCCTGTGCAAATTTATGGCACACTTCTATTTTTTTTTTTCAAATAAACAGAATTTGTACACTTAAATTAGCAGAAAAATTACCAGTTCGTGTGCACTTAAGTTTCAGTTTGTGCACAGTGAAGGATGCGTTATTATAACCTTAGAAATCACTTTCGAATAATTTAGAAATTCAGGTTTTAGACATCTTGTTCTTTGGTGACAGCTCACACTGCATGTTTGAGTCGTCCACTGTGTACAGACAAAGCCTGACGTTTATATGCTCACACTGCACAAAAACCCTCCGTCCGATTAACATGCTGCGATGAGGATGCTCGGACAGCACAAGGAACGTAACCACTACAGTCAGCTCTGTCTATGGGCAATTAGCAATAAAGCTGCATGTCTAAGTACTGAGCAAAGATGCTGAGAAAGTGAGCTACAGCAGTACAGCACACCGTGCACTGAAGCTAAAACCAGGCGGTGATGTACACAGTAGAACAATATGTTCTCTCGACAGCCTATTTTACAAAGAAAATAACTATCATAATCATAACAAACCTATTACTGTTTATACCTCACAATTCTATTCAGTCAAGCAGAGCAAAGTCGGCAGATACGGCAAATGTTAACTTTAAAGCCTTTGTTTTTTTTAGCCTGTCTTAATGGCCAACAAAACCCAATGCACTGCAAAGTACATAACACTTTCAACTAAGTACCAACATATGCACTGCATTTTAGAACTGCTCTGCAAAATAATAAAAGACAGAAAACATAAGCGACTTCAGAAAAGCTGCAGAGTCGGTCACAACACAGTGGAAATGTTTCCCGAGAACGCTCAAAGAGGATGGAGCTGTTCAAACTTTCTGAAGTTCTATGCAGGATAAACAATCACCCGTAAAAGTAAGTTCATTTTTATTGAACAGGTAACTAATGTCACTGTATTAGAATGGAAATCAGCTGTAATTAGAGTGTAACTGTAAAATTTCAAATATCAACAACAGATATGACTGACAACTAGCATAGTACAGCTATGACATATAAATAAAAATAATGTGTGGCCATGCCTTATTAACGCGTGGGAACGAGATCCTAATGTGTGGCCACAACTTAGTAAGGTGTGGGAACGAGATCATGCCTTACTAAGTCGTGGCCACGCATTAGGATCTCATTCTCACGCCTTACTAAGTTGTGGCCATGCATGAGGACCTTGTTCCCATGTCTTACTAAATTGTGGCCATGACCTAATTATGTTGGTTGCATACCTTACTAAGTCGTGGCCATGCTTTATTTTTATTTATACAGGATGTCACCAGTGGAGCTCCGTAGTCCGGAGAGGCCATGAAGTAGTTTAAATTTTCTGGACTGTTACCTTAAGATAACAAGGTAAAAGTTGATCTTGAGATATCTCAAGATAATGGGTTATCTTGTGATCTCAAGATAACAAAGTTGTTATCTTGAGATAACAGGTTAAATTATCTTGTGATCTCAAGGTAACAAAATTGTTATCTTTTTATCTTGAGATGTTTGAGATGTTATGTTTGAGATAACAAGTTGTTATCCTGAGATAATGAGTTAATTATCGTGTGCCCCCAAGATAACAAAGTTATTTTGAGATCACCAGATAATTAACTCGTTATCTCAAGTCAACAATCCACAAAATTTCAGCAACACCTCATGGCCTCTACGTACTTCCGCACCTTTGAGAATCTTCCAGAAACACTTCTGTTATGTTGTGACTCTCTTTCTTTGTGTGGTGAGTGGCTTTTCTGAAGCAGCATTTCTGAAGCTGAATGTTTTTTCTGTATTTGCAGTGTGTTTATGAGTCTACAATGCATGTTTCATTGCGCTGTGCACTGGATCTTGTCAGCGTCCGTGGCCAGCGTGTGTTCACCTGTATACGGGCAGTCAGTGTAAAAAGGTATGAACATTACAGACGTCCTGTGGTAAAATTACATAAGCCCACCTCCCCATGTAAAACTAATCCCATCTGAATAGTACTAGACTTTGAATGGATGAGCGATGATACATTACATAACACAGGGTTAGGAGAGAGTTAACCTGTTAAAGGGGGCTCACCGGGAACACACAGGCGGGTGTCTGGACTCAGTTCTTCTCCGTCGGGACAGGCGCAGGTGTATTTGGGCGAGTGTTCACTGATCTGAGGCGCACGCAGGCACAGGAAGGCGCAGCCACCGTTACTGACGCCAGCCAGGTTACAGCTGTCCGGAGCTGCAAACAGACCACACCATCACAACACAGTCAGAGCACTGTTACAGCCAGCAAACAGCACTGAGCTACTGAGCTAAGTCTATCTAAGCCAGGGCTGTCCAGGTTTGGCCCTGGTGATTTCCTGCTCAAACAGAGCACGAAAAATCACCAGACTGTGATGGACGCCGGCCCTTCAGGACCAGACAGGGCAGCACTGATCCAAGCGCTTCCATAATCAGGGATTCAAGCTGTGTTTGCACTGCTAAGATAGAAATGAGACTCTCAACATGGTGTGAAGAACTTTAACCATTTTCCTGAGTCGTAAAGGTTTGTTTAACAGAGTTTTCTGACCATTGTTCTGCGCGGTGGTGTGTAAAATCCCAGCAGACCAAATCTGCACTACATCTGCACTACACACTCTTCAAGGGTTCTTTAGTAAAGGGAATGGTTCTATACATTCTCCATCAATCTGAAGAACCATTTCACATTTAAGCACGAAATGGCTCTCCAGATTGATGGCGCATGTGTTGTATATTGATTTTGAAAACGGTTCCATACAGCACCAAGTAAGGTTCTGCTATTGTTACAAGCGTGACAAACACATTTAAGAAAGATGGGCCTTTAAGGGTTCTTTAGTAAAAAATGGTTCTATATAGAACCATGAACACTCAAAGAATTGCATGATTAAATTGTTCTTTGCATCATGAAATAGTTCTTCAGATTGATGGAGAATGTGCTGTAGATAGTTCTAAGTAGAACCTTTTTGAAAATGGTTCTATATAGCACCCAAAAGGATTCTTCTATTGTTACGGTGTCAAGGTTAACAACAGAAGAACCCTATGTGGCTATATAGAAACCTTTTTAAAAAGGTGCACACAAGCCTAAGATCAAAATGCACAATGCCAAACGTGAGGAGGTGGGGCTGGGATTGGTGTAAAGCGCCGCCACTGGACTCTGGAGCATTGGAAACACATTCTGTGGACCAACGAATCTGTCAGTATGATGGACTGGTGTGGAAGAACTTGACTGGCCCTCACAGAGCCCTGACCTCAACCCCATTGAACATCTTTGGGATGAACTAGAACAGAGATTGTGAGCCAGACCCTCTCGTCCAACATCAGTGCCTGACCTCACAGATGCTCTTCTGGATGAACGAGCAAAAATCACAGACTCTCTCCAACATCTTGTAGAAAGCTTCCCAGAAGAGTGGAAGCTGTTAGAGCTGCAAAGGGGGACCAACTCCATATTAATGCCTATGGATTTAGAATGGGATTCATAAAAGCTCCTGTGGGTGTGATGTGTAGGTGTCCCAATACTTTTGTCAGTATAGTGTAGATTACTTGATGATAGTCCACGCAATCACTAGTTTACAGTCAAAACTTTAAAGAAATGCCCAGGTGGACCACTTTTAGACTTACAGGTGTAAAGGATTCTGCCACACTACAACTGAACGCTTCTAATACTTCTCCGCTAGTTTCTGTTAGTTGATCTTATAGAGGTACATCTTCTGTTGCACCAGCCTAAACACCAGTTTTGCTGAGTTTAACTTCCCTTGTTCTGACCTTCTGTTGACTGCCCTCCTTTCCCTGCAAGAACCCCTGGAGCTGACAGGTTTCTGCACAGGCTGATGGGGTTGTGGCTCCAATGCAGCAGGAGCTCATCCCAAGTGGCTCTGGACCTTCATTATAACCTCTACACCTTCATTTTAACCTCTATATCTTCATCCTTACTTCTACCAAAACACAGCAGTGCCTGCAGGCCAGATTACTGCAGCTCTTATCTCTTCACTCAGAGTGAAAAATATCAGCTGTACCTCAATTAAACACTACTTAACATCACAATAAATACAAACAAACACAAATACAGTGAAATGAACCAATATTTGTCCTTGAAAGATAAAGTTAGAGTTATTAGTATTTTGGCTGAATGCAGTTGGAAGAGCACAGGTTTGGTTCATGACCTCGCGCTGCACAGTCATTACATGGATTTGTTAAATTTGTATTTATTCTAATGTTAGTGGGGTGGTAGGAACAGATGAACACTCACAGATCATGCCCAGATCAACAGCTTTACATATCATTTTCTCAAAAGCCTGAAGACGTTTTCTACAGCGCTGTATATATGTAGTCATGAGCAAAATTTTTGGCACCCCTGGTCAAATGACGTGTTTTGATGATGTTCTAAGTGGAAAGAAGTTTTTAACACATCCTGTACAGAGAACACACTTCTGCACATTTTAATACACAATTACTGTTTATTTGCTGAATTTAACATCTCGGAAAAAAAAATTAAATATAAAATATGGCCTGTGCAAAAGTTATGGCACATTTTATATTTAATTTTTTTTTCAATATGTAAAATTTGTGTTGATCATCTACAAAGGAACACTTAAATATACACAATAAATATACACAATAAATTTATCACAATAAATATACCATATACCATGTTAACTTCTGTTAAGTTGTTTTAATATATATATATATATATATATATATATATATATATATATATATATATACATATATATAATGTGTGTGTGTGTGTGTGTGTGTATATATATATATATATATATATTTACACACATTTATAAATAGTATTATATTGTATTTTACAGTATAGTTACTGTATAAAAGTATGCAGTATATAAATAGAATATTAATAACTTTAATAACACATTCAGGGCTTGATTTGATAGGGGGTGCAAGGTGACATCCACCAATTTAAAAAACAGGGGTTAAAAAAAAACATCCTCATAAAGCTGGCATGCCCCTTTCAATCGCCTTTAGATTATCTTGTTAAGTCATAAAAACACATATCATTAGGTCACTTAATATGTCTATTTTATTTTAATTCCATCGATATTTGAGATTTACATGCCAGTTTGCCTTGGATATTTGTAGTACCCCTCCTTCCAACTCATCACCCCCAGCTGTATATATTAGGCCTAATAAAGTATATATACAGTATATAAATTGTATACAGTGCATTGTTGTAATATATGTATTATAAATGGCTAAAGCTTTCTCAGAATTAAACATTTGGCTCTAACAAACCTTGGGGCTGGCTCAGCTCGTGGAAAACCACTATATCATGCGGGTCGTTTAGATGTTCAGCCAGGCTGGTCACGTCCTGACCGGTCAGCCTGTTTGCGCTGTAGACGGCCTCCTTCTCTCTGTCCGTCCAGTACACTCGGTCCTGAGCGAGAGAAGAAGAGAGACAGCTGAGCAACAAAGATGAGCTGAGGTCAGGCAGGAAGGGCAGCAGAGCAGCAGGAGACAAGCAAAGCTGCACAGTTTGGACTGTTCTGTGAAGAAGATTGAAGAAAACAGTGGATGAAGTCCCACATGCTTGGTCCAAGCTGTTTTCATGTAGTAGTCCTGCCAAGATACTTTAAACTGAATAGCATGACTGTTCCGCTCTTTTACAACAACCCTGCTGACAGACTCTTTCATTTCAAGACCACAGTTACTATATTCCTCCTTTGTACTGAGGCTCTGCTGTCAGAGTGGGAGGTCCAAGAGTTCTACCCAAGCAAAAGCTGCATGCTGGAAAGCCTCGACTGCCTGTGGGTGGCGGCAGTAGTGACGAAAATAAAGGCCGGGTAATCACAGACCCTGATGGAAACAAGTGAGGTGTCATTTTGCTTTTCATCTCCAGAGTAACAGGAGCCTCTCAGTCGGGCTCTAAGGAAACGTCAGGTCAAACTGACCGAACCCACTATAACTTCAGAGCCATGATTAAGGGTAAAATGCTGTATTTACCTGTTTCTCCTCATCAGCGCACCAACTGTGTTAACATGTGGGACTGACTCTGTTAAGACCTGCTATTAAACACAGGATGCAACAGCTGTTTTAACTAAGATATTGTTAGTCAGGAATTAAGCTACATTTTCTTTCTAGGGTGTTTCTAGGCCTTTGCTATGGTATTCCAAGTGGTTGTTAAGATGTTGCTAGGCCATTACTGTTGTATCCCAGGTGGTTGCTAAGGTGCTGCTAGGCTGTCATTAAGGATCAAAGAACAGTATACAAACTTGTTTTGTTTCTTTTCTGGTTACTCTGAATTAGAGTTGTACTAAATCTGTACTCAAATATGGAATCATGATTTTATATATATATATATATATATATATATATATATATATATATATATATATATATATATATATATATATATATACACTTTTTTGGATCTGTATTTTAAACCCTTGCATTGATCTTTATCTAATCTTACTCCCTGTTTAATAATATCACAGTAAAACAGACTGAACTGCTGAATCTGAATATAAATCACCATTTGGGTTAGTATTACAATAACTTATATATTATATAAAATATGCAAACAGATATACTTTTATTTCTACTCTCTCATACTGTAACTTATGTTTAATTTATTTCTGCCTATTTTTTGTCTGTTTTTGTTTCAAATTTTACTTCTGCCAATATTTGTAAGTTTATGTGCAATTATATGTCTTGCTACTGTAACACTGCAATTGTCCTTCAGGATCAGTACAGTTCTGTCTGTCTGTTTGTCTTTCTGTTTGTCTGTCTGTCTGTCTATCTATCTATCTATCTAACATGTAAAATCTAACCTTCAGCATGATCACATCATTTTCTACCATAAATGCAAAAAAATCTGTTAAGAAAACTGATGACAAATAAGAACAATAACAGGAAATTAACAGAAACTTAACCTGCAAAAGGATTATGGGTAGCTCCAACCCCAGCACTACAATATTTCTATTATTTTAGACTGTGGGTTTTTGCTGTTTGAGTCAACAAGTGTAATAAATGAGAACAGATCATCATATTTCACAATATCACAGAAAACTGTCAATCACATCATTCAGCAAGGCACTGTTTAATTAAAGTGTAAAGTTAAGAGTAAACGTAAAATTTAAAATGCAAGCGTTAAAAAAAGGCAATACTGGATTGGATTTTATGCCACATTCTGCAGTCTACATTCTGTAATCATTTTTATTTATGGTCAGCTCTGTTCTGTCCTGTTGAGGGCAGATTTTATAAATAATACATGTGTATTTTCTTTACTAGCATAAATAAAACAGCACAAACGTTTGGTTTTTAGCCAGGTGCTTCTTGACTTGCAGTTTTGGTTTGATTTTCATTTCACTCCATCACTTATACACGTATACACATATAAACTGTCTAATTTATTTAAATTGAATGTAGAGCGAACATGTGCATGACCAGCAAGATGTTATCAAGGTCATGTCAGCTGTGAGCATTTACACTGAGAATCAGTTTAGTCTGCTGTGTGTATCCCATTAGGGAACCTATTAGAGAACACTAGAGTCTACGGTTTATTCACACTAGACTGTCTCAGCTAACTGAGCTGCTGCATTACTCTGAGCTCAGAGTGCTGTACAAACCTGCCACATGAAGAAATGTTACTACAATAGAATACGACAGCGAGGTGACAGAGTCAGCACTCTCATTAATTCCACAATCACACACTCACACAGTCAGACACACACACATTTCAGACCGCTGTGTCTGTGTGCGAGCGATACGGCCAGCAAGTAATCACGGAGTGTGTGTGTGTGTGTGTGTGTGTGTGTGTGTGTGTGTGTGTGTGTGTGTGTGTGTGTGTGTAGTGGAGCGCAGCATAGAGGGTGAATTGGAGCTGTTTAAACCAGTGTGGGGACTATAGATGTGGTCCATTGGCTAAAATCGTGTGGTTGCCTATGTCGTTATATGAATGTCTGAGGTTGAAAAACATTTTGAATCATTACTAAGTTGGTGTTCTGCTCACCAAAGTGCTGCTACGGTTTGCCCCAAATTTGGGCACCCCTGGTCAAATTACATATTTCATTTTTTCCATCATAGCGCAAACAAACGCAAATATGGCAGGTATTTATTCAAGCCAAATGGTTAAAAAAAAGTGGTGGACAGTAACGAAGTTCGTTGCTGTACTTAAGTAGTTTTTCGTGTATCTGTACTTTACTGAAGTTTTTCCATTTTGGGCGACTTTTTACTTTCACTCCACTACATTTCAAAGTACATATCTTAATTTTTACTCCACTACATTATGAGAAATCTGTCGTTCCTTTTGGTTTATGTGTGTACAAAAATGTAACATCAAAACGAAAGAAGCGTGCAGCAAGAACACCAATCAGGGCACAGCAGGCACTTTGTTTTGAGCTTGTTTTGACCTGTTAGTCATACCGACCCAGTGCAGCACACGGTTCAATGTCAGTGCAGCAGCGTAAAATGTTGGGAGTGTCTATTCAACACAAATGATGAACTAACCTAACTTTGTGTAAATAGACCACAATATAGAAATATAATAATATACACATATGCAGTTGTGACTGACGTGTCTTTATTCTGAATTTATATAAACACTATTTCATTTCACAGTAAATTTGTTTTTGCTAGTTTATGTTTATGAACAGAGACCTGCAGATGGAGTTTAGTAAAGGAAAACTCATTTGTGAATCTGTGATTAAAACAAGTTTTTATTAAACATAAGCTTGTAACTAAGTTGCAAATAAATCTTAAACCGAAACTTTGCTTGTTCGCAAAAGGTTATTTCAGAGCCACTTATTGCTTATGATAATTTTAATAAACATCAGTGTCAGACTAATTAATGACATTCTATTAAAAGACTGGTTTACCAAGAGAGACACTGGAGTATTTTCACCTAAAATGAGTTAATGAAGCAGCATCTTGTTACAAAAATGGTAATAGGATATCAGAGCCATAATTAATCTATTAGTACTTTCACTTTCGATACTTAAGTACATTTGAAGGCAAATACTTTTGTACTTTTACTCAAGTGGAGGTCTAAAGGGAGAAACTTCTACTTTTACTGGAGTAATATTTTACCTTGGGTATCTCTACTTTAACTCAAGTACATGGTTTGTGTACTTCGTCCACCACTGTGAAAAAGCATGGGTATATGTTTTACACTGCATGGTCCTTGCACGGTCTTCTCAGTGTGAGTTGAAACTGATGCCTCATCCACACATACTTGGATATAGAGTCCTGATCAGGCAGAGAATTAAAATGATGTAATTAAAAAAAAATTCTTGGGATTATTGATTATACTGCCACTCTCGTGACATCCCTCTCACCTTCTGTGCTTTCTTTAGCCTACACTCTTTTTTAGTTAACTAATTAAATCAAATACTAAGTTAATGTTACATAACAGTAATGAAAGTGCATCTTTATTGGGCAATAAACTATTTCGCTTCTCGTTTTGAAACACAGACTGACCTCAAACACAGCGAGGGCGTAGGGATGGCCGAGTCTTTCACTGGACGACAGGATCACTCTGCGCTGAGCTCCATTAAAGTCCACACTGGAGATCAAGTGGAGCTTCGAGTCCACCCAATACAAGCGCTTTCCCACCACGTCTGCACACAGAGAAAAACATACTGAAATTTGGAGAAGAGACAAAACAGTCACACTTAACTCAGCTCTCCTCCAAATAGATACTTGTGGTGAGATTGCTACTCTTACCCAGCGTGATTCCATTCGGCCACTCGATGCCCTCAGACACCAAAACCTGTCGGTCCACTCCATTCATGCCTGCTTTCTCAATCTTGGGCCTCATTCCCCAGTCAGACCAGTACATAAACCTGTGAGGAACACAGAATATATTATATGACTTGTGAACAGAATCAATCAATAAATCTATCCATCCATCCATCCAGCCATCGATCTATCAAAACGGCTATTTTTTAGAAGATGTTGGATATGAGACAATCCAGGAGGAAAAACAGAAGCTTCTAAAACTGGAGTTCAAAAAATGATTAAATGTTACAGAGAAAATGTGTCTCCTAACAACCACCTGGAAGACCTTGTAGACCCCAAAACTGTCCCCATCAGATAAACAGCACTTAAAGCTTTCATCTCTGAGAGAGAGGAGAAAATCAAGCTGCTTCAGATCTGAAAACATCCACAGGTGTTTCTGTCCATCCTTCCACTGTGAGAAGACGACTCAGCGCTATGGGTCTGAAAGGATGTGTAGCTGATCAAGAAGAACCTCACTGAGAAAAGGAGACGGACACATCAAACAAAGAAGCTGAACAATGGACTGACCACCCCAGAGTCCAGACCTCAACATCACTGAATGTGTTTGGGACTATTTGCATCTTGAGAATCAGAAAGTACAACCAAGACTGAACTTTGGTGGTGTGAAAAAATATCTTTGAAAAACTGACAGTAAAGAGTGGACACATTAAATTCTGAAAAATTATGATGACAAACTCTTCTTCAAGGATGTTTTAGTTAAGATAATGGTTCTATTTAGAACCATGAGCTCTATATAACCATTGCATGCCTAAATCGTTCTTTACATGGTGAAACTAGGCCTTTCTTTGAAAATCTGAAAGTGTCCTGATGCTGAAAAATTAATAATTTGTATTAAATGGTTGTTTTGACTAGAAATTAAATAAATGAAAAGTCAGTGGTCTCTAACTTTTGCACAATACTCTATCTATCCATCTATACACTATATAGACAAAAGTATTGGGACACACCTCCTAATTATTGAGTTCAGGTGTTTCAGCCACACCCACTGCTAACAGGTGGATAACATTAAGCACACAGCCTTGCAGTCTCCATAGACAAACACTGGCAGTAGAATGGGTCGTTCTGTTGAGCTCAGTGGGAGAGATCCATTAAGGCCTGGCTGGGTGAGTTTGGTGTGGAAGAACTTGACTGGCCTGCACAGAGCCCTGACCTCAACCCCATCGAACATCTTTGGGATGAACTAGAACGGAGATTGTGAGCCAGGACCTCTCGTCCAGCATCAGTGTCTGACCTCACAAATGCTCTTCTGGATGAGTGGACAAAAATTCCCATAGAGACACTCCAAAATCTTAGAAAGCTTCCCAGAAGAGTGGAAGCTGTTAGAGCTGCAAAGGGGGACCGACTCCATATTAATGCCTATGGATTTAGAATGGGATTTATAAAAGCTCCTGTGGGTGTAATGTGTAGGTGTCCCAATACTTTTGTCCACATAGTGTACCTACCTACCTATCATATCAGTGTCTCTGCTGTGCTAAGAATGGTCCATCGCCCAAAAAACATAACCTGAAGGTTCTATGTGGTGCTGTAGTCAGAAACTGACCAGCAAGAAATGAAGAAGAGGGAGTCTGATGAACTGTGTAGTAACATTGGAGCTGTAAGGTAGGTGGGAGCTCATAAAGTGTTCAGTGAGTTGAAGCACAATGTCAGGGTTTCTAATAAAGTGGACATAATGATCCTTCTTTTCAATTATGACTAAGCATCTAAGACAACCGTTATATTAGCCACGTACATTTAGGGCTGATCTCTACACATCTATCTTCATTCATGCACCAGAACATTAATAAGGTTAAAATACTTCCTTCTATCATCGTTTATGCTTCTTTCTAGCTTTGTGTATCTTATTGTAGGATATCTTGGTTGGTACAGCACTCAGAGTCAAGGCTGATGCCACTTACCGTGCAGGTGCAAACCTAGACAGTCCTTCACTGATTGAATAATTGCATGAATAATGAAAGAGAAGATGTTGCCGATTAAGGAGTAGAAAGAAGCAGCCTTTTCCTTCTAAACACTACACAGAAGCTCACCCTTGCTCCGGATCCACAGCGATGGCCCGTGGTTCACTCAGCTCTGTGTCGATCAGAACTCGCCTCTTGCTGCCGTCGGCCGAAGCCACAGAGATGCTCCTGTCGCCCGAGTCCGTCCAGTACAGGTTGTGCTGAACCCAGTCCAGAGCCAGGCCCTCTGGAGAGTGGAGCTCAGAGTCGATCAGAGTCACGTGACGGGACGGGTCAGATGCCTCGTGGATGAAAGCACTGAGGAGAGAAAAGTAGCACTCAACTCACGACCGTCCTCATTACTGTACATCCATCATCTTTCCTTCTTTTAGTTTTTTTGGATGTAGAGTATTTTAGCGTTTATAAAGAGCATTTTATATATACACACAGGTCAAATTATACGTTTTGTCGATTTTCCAAGCGAAAGTAAGTTAAAACATCCTCTACAGGGAACACACTTAAATAAGGTATTCTTTATTTTTATATATATTCTGTAAATTTTAGCGCTCGATTCCTATTTATTTGATTTCACATAGTGAAAATAAAACATAAAATATAAAATGTGCCATAACTTTTGCACAGGTCACATTTTATGTTGCATTTTTCCCCAATATGTTAAAAAAAAAAAACAATTGTGCATTAAATTTAAAAAAAAAACTTATTTACACTTACAATCAGCAACATGTGTCATTTGACCAGGGGTGTTTAAAATTTTGCATATACTTATACAGTACTGGATTTCTTCATTTCTGAGAAGATTAGATATAAGATAATCCACTTCCATAAGAAAGAAGAAAATCAAAAGAAAATAAATGAAAAAACACAGGAGTTTGTAAAACTGGAGACATAAAATGATTAAAAGCTATAGAAAAAAATGTGCCTCCTAACAACCACCTGGAAGGCCTGGCAGACACCAAAACTGCCCCCATCAGTTTTGTACCTAAAGCTTTCATCTTTGAGAGAGAGGAGAAAATCAAGCTGCTTCAGATCTGAAAACATCCACAGGTGTTTCTGTCCATCCTTCCACTGTGAGAAGACGACTCAGCGCTGTGGGTCTGAAAGGATGTGTAGCTGATCAAGAATCCCTCATTGAGATGTGGAGAACTGATAAGACTGATGAGTCTAAATCTGTAATTATAATTACTTGGACTGTGAAAATGCAACCAACTTCTAAGACTGAACTTTGAAGGTGTGCAGTTTTAGACTGATTAGCACTTATTACTGAGTTGTTCGATGAGAGGCAGCTGATACATGATTTATATTGCTATTCATGTATTTTCTTGTTAAAAAAGGTATAAATGTTAGATCTTGTTCTTTACATATCAAATAAATGCAGCAACAGCACTGACACATGACAATAGTAACACTGACCTTCAAAGGGTTACGGGTTAAAACTGATGCGTAAAATTGACAGCGTTAACAAAGGCATGCTGTAATTTCATATGAATGTATATATATTTATTTATAAGTATTTTTTCTGATTTTTAATCCATATCACATATGTGTTTGTAAGCAGAAGGGGAGATATTTTATTACGATTCTAGTCTGATGAAAACAAGGGCTGTTTGTATATCTATAATACATTATACAATGTAATTAATTTTGGTATATAATTGCATTTAAACATTTATGAACTGTAAATCCAAGAACAATTAGACTTTTAATGGATAAACTCTGAATCTGAGTTTTTGACCTAGAGAGTTTGACCTAGTGTTAACACCGAATTTTGACAAGTACCTCCAGGCTGTGCTGAAACAACATTCAGTGCTATAATTACTTTCGTGCTAATTATCGACAGTCTATTAGACTTTTCAAACATATGAACAGGAGTCAGGGCTTGACCAGCACTCTCCATATTTGAGGACCTGTTTCTTTCTCAGAAGAGTGATCAGTTCAGGGTGTTTCCCTGGAGTGCTGGATGATGCCCAAGGTCTGTGCATAATCCTAGCCGCAAAAGGTCAGACTCACTTCACAGCTCTGTAGCAAATTGGTTCCACCTCACAAAGGAGTGGCCCTGAAGACTAATGACTTTGGCTTTTATCAGAAGAAAAGCCGAGAGACAGGGCAGGGGTGGAACAACGCCTTTAATAAGACACCCACTGAGGTCCCTATTATTAGGAGAGAGAACGTCCCCAATTAGCCAGAGCTCATGGGATGGCCTCCAGGTAAAAGAGAGAATGGGAATGATGTGGGAAGACAGTCTGAGCAATAATAGGAAGTGCATAGATTAGGACAATTTGGTTTTAAACTGAATAAAGTTCTGTAACTAGGTTGGATCCAGGGTCAAAAATCACAACACTATTTTAGCACTAGCACTTCCCAAACAGGAAGTGGAAATTTTTTTATTCTTCTTTCTCTTTTGGCCTTTAACTCTATCAGACAAAATGTCACAATGTTTTAAAGCATCACTCCTTAGCAGAATAAGACATTAGTCTATAAACAACCTCAATACACACTTCTATATTATAGGAGATATTCATTAATAAAGAACTTCAATAAATACATTAGAATAGGAGATATTAGTCCATAAACAACTTTAATAAACACTCCTATATTCTAGAAGAGGAGATATTAGCCCATAATCCACCGCTATTAAACATTTCCATACACTAAAATAGTAGATATCAGTCCATAAGCAATATCAATAAACACTTGTATATGCTAGAATAAGAGATATTAACCCACGAACAACCTCAGGAACCAATTTATATGCTAGAATAAGAGATATTAGTCCATAAACAACCTCAATAAACGCTCCTGTAGACTAGAATTAGAGATATTAATCCACAAACAACATTATTAAACACTCTTATACACTAGAATAGAGATATTAGTCCATAAAAAAACAATAAACACTCCTATTCAACAGGAGATATTAGCCTACAAAACAACCTTAATGAACACTCTTATTCAGTAAAATAGAGATATTAGTCCATAAACAATTTCAATAAACACTCCTATATTCTAGAAAACATCAGTACATTAAAAAATCAGTAAATGCTCCTGAACACTAGAATAAGAGAGATTAGCTCATAAACAACCTCAATAGTTATTCGTATATGCTAGAAAAGGAGATATTAGTCCATAAATAGTCTCAATAAATGCCCCTATATCCTAGATTAGGAGATATTAGTCCATATCTATTACAGTGTCCGGAGGTGTTTATTGAGGTTATTTAATGACAAATATCTAAAATTGTAGTGTATAGGGGTATTTACTGAAGTTGTTTATGGATCATATAGGTACATTATGCAATTTTTTAGCTGCAGATTCTTTTGTCTGCTGTATTAACGGCCATTAAATATCAAATATCCAGGAAATCATACACAGACACAGCAATAAATGCACTGCTCATATATCAGGAAATTCGTGCTTAAGAAAATGCTTCAGTTTATAGAGATGCTTTGTGAAATCCCAAGAAACGAGTACCTGGGAGGCACCTTTATAATATTACCATAATGAGCCCATACAGCTGGCTTTAGGGATTAAAATACAGTTCGGAGTCTCATTCTCAAGGGTGCAATATATTAAGCCTTTTATCGACTAATTCCAGGCAAATTTTCGGAATAACAGACAGACTATAAAGGTCAGCATAAGGTCACCTGTAGATCTTGCGTTGGAAGCGGTCACACCAGAACATGCGGTTGGCAGCCACGTCAACATCAATGGCCACAGCGTTCTTCTGGGTGGGGACCACCTGGGTGTAGTCCCGCTTCACAAGGTCGATGCGTCGGATCTCATGTCTGTTGGTGAACATCAGGTAAGGGCTTTTTCCTGCAGGGAGCAGAACAAAGTGGTGACAAGTCTGTTTCCCAGCAATCGTTTCGTTTGTTTCTCCCACAACAAAAGTACATTATTTACCATAATAGACCTTTAACTCTTCTAGAGTTATTACTGTTGGATTTTTATACTTTCAGTTTGCCTTTCACAGCTATTTATTAATACATTTACTTAATGTAAAGTAAAATTATTCATGGTATTATTCTAGCATATAAGAGAGTTTATTGAGGTTGTTTATGTTCTATTATCTACTATTGCAGCTTATATGAGCATTTATTGAGGTTATTTATTAACTACTATATCCTATTCTAGTGTATATGAGTGTTTATTGAGGTTGTCAATTAACTAGTATCTCCTATTCTAGTGTATAAGAGTGTTTATTAAGGTTGCTTATTAACTAATATCTCCCATTCTAGTGTATATGAGTGTTTATTGAGGTTGTGCATTAACTAATATTTCCCATTCAAATGTATAGGAATGTTTATTGAGGTTGTGTATTAACTAATATCTCCCATTCTAATGTATAGGAATGTTTAATGAGGTTGTGTATTAACTACTATGCCCATGTCTAGTGTATATGACTGATTATAGAGGTTGATTATTAATTCATATCTCCTATTCAATTGTATAGGAGTGTTTATTGAAGTTGTTTATTAACTAATATCTCCCATTCTAGTGTAAGCGAGCATTTATTGAGGTTGTTTATTAACTCATATCTCCTATTCTAGTGAATATGAGTGTTTATTAAGGTTGCTTATTAACCAATATATCCCATTCTAGTGTATATGAGTGTTTATTGAGGTTTTTCATTAACTAATATCTCCTATTCTAGTGTACAGGATTGTTTATTGAGGTTGTTAATTAACTAATATCTCCCATTCTAGTGTAAATGTGTGTTTACTGAGGTTGTTTACCAATTTCTAGTGTATATGAACAGAGGTTGTTTATTAACTAATATCCCCCATTCTAGTGTATATGAGCGTTTATTGAGGTTGTTTACTAATATCCCCCATTCTAGTGCATATGAGCATTTATTGATCTAATATCTCCTTTTTAATGTATAGGAGTGTTTCTTGAAGTTATTTATTAACAAATATCTCCCTTTCTACTGTATATGGGTGTTTGAGGTTGTCTATTAACTAGTATCTCCCATTCCAGTGTATATGAGTGATTATTAAGGTTGTTTATTAACTATTATCTCCTATTCTAGTGTATAAGACCGTTTATATATAAACGTATGTAACAGAAAATTACACAGAAGCCTCAACAACTAAATATAATGAAAAAAATATTTCAGCTTCCACTCTTTTCAGGACACTTGTTTTTGAATTTTTCAAAGAAATCTGCAGCCATACTTCCAAAGTTCAGTCTTGGAAGTCAGGTGCACTTTCTGCTTCAGTCCCTAACGTTTACATACCTACAAACAATTACATACCTGCACACCTTCTGTAAGTGTTGTTCACTATAAAACTGTAAACATGTGTGGATCTCCTGTGTTTTGTAGGTGATATATCTGTCCCTGCACCTGTGTGTGCCCTACTTATATGATCAACGGGGGGCTGCACCAAAAAGTGCCAAGACAAGTTCCAGCTTTAGGTGAAAAAACAAGTTCTGCAGTATTTGACGGTGGAAGAGCGGACAACAGTGGGTGACTCGTTCTTTCATCAGAATGGACTATTCTAGTTAAGTATAACACCTCTCCAAGCAGCCCTCAGGCAAACTGGCTTCATCTGAGAATATCGAGAAGTATTTCTGAAGGCTAGTTCAGTCCAATTCAGAGACTAAGGCTGGAGTTATATCACACAAGTTCTAGCCACAATTTACAATCAGTCTGAAGCTGTGCTAGTTCTAGTCTGCACATTTTGGAGCTGCCAAAAGATGATGATTGGCTCTGAAAATGGAGAAGACTCTAATTTCTCACCATCCAACGTACCTTCAGGCCGGCTGGAGTATGACAAGCAGGTCTGATTATATTAGACGTCAATCAGGAGGTAGTCTAGTAATGTAAATGGGTCAACCACTCACTTCTGAATGGATCCCATCAAAGAAAACTGAGAGCGCAAAATAGGCCTCCCTATACCATTAGTTACTGCTGTGACCTATAACATTTTACATTTAAAGGGGAATCCATTGTTTTTATTTTGTTTCTGCATAATTAAATGGTTAAGATGTAAACAGTCATGCAAAGTGGTTTGGTGTGAAATGCTCCGTTCTAGAGAAACCTACTGAATCAGAATTGTTCTCAGTGGTAGTGATAGGAACCAGGCGTCTGAACCATTTAATGCCTCTACACACCCCCTCAGAGAAAGCAATTCTATGGCATGGTTACAAATACACAGCCTGAGATACTGCTTTATGATAGATTTGAGACATTTTTTAACTCAGTTCATGGCAGAAGAGGCACACATAGGGCAAAATACTCCCCCAAAAAAGCTGAAGTTAAAAAACCAAATTTACCACTTGTGCCTTTCGCCAAAACCAGCATTGCATATAAAAACTCACAGACACATGTAGGTTAATTTGTCATTTTGCATAGTATATAAAACGGCTATATTTGCATTCTGAGCCCTGGTTCCCATCACCACCACTGTGAAGAAATCATGTTTCTCTACAGCGTAACACTTTGTGTTGTTACACATATCTGCATTTTCAGCCTACACTAGTTTAGCCCCACCCATTTAAACTGACGTTAAGAAAGATTTCAGCCTGGAATATTTTCTGAATGAGGGCAGCCAATCAAAACACTTACATATACACTATATGGGCAAAGGTACGTGGCCACATAGTCACCATCACACCTATACGAGCTTCTTGGACATCCCATTTCAACGCCATGGGCATTAACAATAAGATTTTAGAGTGTGTCTGTAGGAATTTGTGGCCATTCGGCAAAAAAAAAGCATTTGTGAGGTCAGGCCCTGATGTTGAACAAGAAGGCCTGGCTTGCAATTGACGTTCCAATTCATCCCAAAGATGTTCACTGGGGTTAAAGTCAGGGCTGGTTATTGGAGTTCCTCAACACCAAACTCATCAAACCATGTCGCTTTGTGCACAGGGGCAGCCATGCTGGATCAGGAAGGGCTTTCAACAAACTGTTGCCACAAAGTTGGAAGTTGGAATTAACATTACTCTTCACTGGAACCGAGTGCCCAAACCCCATTCAGCACTCAGCAGCCCCACTTTGTGAGTTTGAGTGGTTTACCACTTCGTGGTTGAGTTGTTGTTACTCCTAGAAGCTTCCATGTTACAATAATAGCGCTTACAGTTGTCTAGGGCAGATCTAGCAGGGCAGAAGTCCAGAAATTGACTAGTGGCAAAGGTGGCATCCTATGACAGTGTCATGTTTAAAGTCACTGAGCTCATCAGTACAACTCATTCTACTGCCAAAGTTTGTCTAAGGAGTCCAAACGGCTGTGCTTGATTTTATACATCTGTTAGCAAAGGGTGTGGCTGAAACACCTCAACAGTTAGGAGGGGTGTCCACATACCACATAGTAAGCCATAGGCCACTATAGGCCATTCAGTGTACATATATTGCACAAAGTTTGAAAGGCACGGTAACAAAAACAGCCTGTTAAACATTGAGGGGTGAAGAGTGGTCATAAAATGGTCACTTAAAAATGAATAACGAACATAAAACCACGTAAACGTGGAAAAAAATGTAAACAAAATGTCAGGTGTGTGCGCTTTAAGTGGAGTCCCCTACCCTCTGCTTTGCAGGTCTTGCTCACTGGGTCCATCTCATAGCCCGGGTGACACTCACACTTGAAGTCTCCTTTGAGGTTGATGCAGATTTGACTGCAGGCATCTGGATTCTCGCACTCATCAATGTCTGTGGAGAGAAATGTAACACAAACATGCTCAGTCCAACGAGGCTAAATTAGAGCCAAATCAGCAACAGGGAATCTGCCATTAATGAATTACTGGCTCTCAAAAGAACCTCATTACCGAATCTCATCTGGGCAAGTAATAGCATGCCCCAAAACAAAGGCAAAACTGATTACATGCTCTTCGCCATTTAAAGTGTTATTATACTGTTATTTTTTTTTCATTGAAGCAATTTTGGGATCAAAAGAGACAATATAATGAGATCTGAGAAACAAGTTTGCAAACATTCTAATCCTTAATCCCTGTTCGTTTGCACAACATCAGTACCAAGTCAGTACTTTATATAATTATGTATTAATTATCTGAAATATAACCCAATACATAGGTTTAAATATGATTAACTCGGCTTTCACCTCCGCATGTCCTTTTATCCAGGAGTTTGTAGCCAGTGGGACACTGGCACTCGTAGCCGATGGGTCGGTCCACACAGATATGTGAACAGCCTCCGTTGTTTAGCATGCACTCGTTCAGACCTGTGAAAGAAATCGACCATTTGTTTCATTAAGATGTAAACAAAGTTATTCAGAGTGGTTTAATGTGAAATGCACCATTCTGTAGAAAATGATTGAGTTGTTCACAGTGGTGGTGAAAGGAACCAGACATCTGAAGCAGTTAATGCCTCTAAAATCTCCCTCACAGAAAATTAAAACATTAAATGGTTATGAATACACTGCTTTTGGCCTAAAACCTAATGTTTATCCATTTATGGTGGAGAGATGCAGGCAGGGTGTTGTAAGGCAAAATAGCCCCCAAGAAAAACTCACTTTTATGGTTTTTCCACTATTTTGCCATCATTAACATTACAAATAAAGCTCAGAAGACGTGTAGGTTCACTGGTGGTTCTGGATAGTCAATAAAATGGCTATATTAGTGTTGTAGACATGGTGAGCCCTGGTTCCCATCACCACCACTGTAAAGAAATTGGGTCAGTAAGTTTCTCTTGGATGGACTATGACTATTTCACACCAAACCACTCTGAATGGCCTTGTTTACATCTCAATGATTGAATTATTCAGAAAGTTGAAAAAAAAAAATCACTGTTTTAAACCTACACTGTATAAACACACAAAGATCTGAAAGCGACACGATCAAATGCACAATGCCAAAGCTCTGAAGTCAGAACCTTCACTGAAGGCCTTTACAAACTGTTTCATTGCTCTGCAACGCCCATGTTCTCTGGAAGTCACTGTCACAAAGTTCGAAAATGTCTCTATCCCACGTGCCCACACAATGTTTACTCAAAAGCTTCAAGATGTTTCCCAGTTATTAGAAGAATCAACAGCAACCACAGTAGGACCACAATAGAGCCTCTGAAGACCCCATATACACTCCTCAATATTACACACCACAATATTAAAAACATTAACCTTGTACTTCCACTCACAGTCCATTTTATAAGCGCCACCTGCCTTATGGTTCCACTATATAGGTATTCAATTACAGACTGGAGATCTGTTTCTTGCACAGTCTGTCAACCGACGCACATTCGAGAGTAACCTGTCAGAATTGACCACTGATGAAGGGCTAGAAATTACCAACACAAACTGTACCCAACTGTACATCTGCAAGGTGGAGCAACAATGTAGGGTTTTTTAATAAAGCGGCCAGTGAATGTACTTCAACCATTTGTTGTTCCAAAATCAGAACGTAGGTCCTCCCCGCAGAGTGTAGCTTCAGTCTATGCTTTCAGAAGTATTAGCATATCAGGCAGGTGTTAGAACAGGCATGGAAGTCAAATCTCAGGAAGATGTATACAATCAGTATACAGGGCAAGAGTCAGAGACAATCCTTTATTTATTTATTTATTTATTATCCCATAAAAAATGACCATTGAGAACAGGTTATTCATTTTTAGTTTCAGAAAAATATACATTTAACAGAAAATTCAACAGACGGCTCAACAACAAAAACAAGTGTTTCAATATTTAGTGTGTCCACTCTTTGCCTTTATTACAGCTTCCATTCTCACTCTCAATTTTTCAAAGAACCCTGCTGGGATATTTTTCCACACCTCCAAAGTTGGTTGCACTTTCAGCTTCTTACGATCCAAGTAATCACAAACACATTCAGTGGTGTTGAGGTCTGGACTCTGGGGTGGTCAGTCCATTGTTCAGCTTCTTTGTTTGATGTGTCCATCTCCTTTTCTCAGTGAGGTTCTTCTTGAACAGCTACACATCCTTTCAGACCCATAGCACTGAGTCGTCTTCTCACAGTGGAAGGATGGACAGAAACACCTGTGGATGTTTTCAGATCTGAAGCAGCTTGATTTTCTCCTCTCTCTCAGAGATGAAAGCTTTAAGTGCTGTTTATCTGATGGGGGCAGTTTTGGGGTCTACCAGGTCTTCCAGGTGGTTGTTAGGAGTCACATTTTCTCTGTAGCTTTTAAGGGCTTTTTTGAACTCCAGTTTTGGAAACTCATTTTTTTGTTTTTTTACTTATTTACCTTAGACTTTTCTCTTCCTCATGCAAGTGGATTATCTTATGTCTACTTTCCTCATAAATAACCCCTGAAAATGAAAACCTTGTACTTAATGGAACAGTTTAGCTTGAAATTAAACGCATGACTTTTGCACAGTACTGTTTGTGTGTTTTGCGTGGAAGAGAGCATGTATGCTAATTTTATTCGTGTCAATTTCCATTAGGAAGCCCTTTTCTGATCATTTGCATTTTTAGAGTTCTGCTCTTGGCTAATGAACCGTTCCCTTCTGACGCTTGTGTGCTATTTGATATGTGAGTAAAGTTTACTCAGAGTGCACTGAGGCCACTTTAGAAGCTATGCTGCTTTGTATATTGAGTCTCTGGGCTTTGTGCTTTGTTGCCTCCTGAAGGAGCTCGGCTCTCTGCGGTAACAACGTCATGGGTTTTCTGGCTTAAAATCACAGAACGAGGGGTAAACACCCTGTGGATACTGTTTTAATGAGGCAATATAGAGTCTGATGAGACAGTAGGAGAACAGAGAAGTGCTGGCTCTCCTCTTCGTTCTTTTTCCCTGCCTCTGTGCGATCCTTCATCCTGTCCTCCTTCTCTCCCTCAGGCGTGGACCTGTGGGCCAGGTGTTCTGTCGGCAGCGCCATGTTCATTAGGAGGTGCTGGCATCCGGACAATAAGCAAGGAAATGAGCAATTAGGGCCGAGGCCCGCAGGCTCAGAGCCAGCCGTATGGCGAGCTAACGGCAGGGCTTTCTGACTTGAGTGGGGGGACGAGAGGAGGACACAACTGGGAGAATTTACCTACCCGTGCTCCGCCCACAAATACATGCTTTTGTAGTGACTGTTGGATAAAGTCAAGCTAACATTAGCATGGTGGAAAATATGCTGTCGTCTTAAACCAGCCTGCTTCCTTTCAGCTACAACATTGTCCAGCTTGGTAGCGCTGCAGTTTATATTGAAAACTCAATATAAATATATGTTTTACACATTGACTTGTTGGGTTGAATAAGATTTTTGCTTATGTTCTGTCAACTTTTTCCAACCTAGCAACACTTGTAATGAAAGAATGTTTTTTTGGGTGAAGCATGAACAGAGCAATTCCAGGTCGGTCACTCTGTTCATTGACCATGATGTCGGTCATCAAACAGAGAGAGAAACTGAAAGAACTAGAGAGCAAGTATATTAATTAGCTAATTTTGGTCATAATTAGCTAGTTAGCTGGCTAGGAAAAGCAGACTCTACTTACTAAAAAAAATAATGACCTTATTATGCCAGGTGATATTAGCTACATTCTTAAAAAAGATGGTTCTTCAAAGGTTCTTTAGTAAAGAATGAAATTGTTCTTCAGATTGACTGAGAATTTTGGTTGAATACGGTTCTATATAGCACCTTTTTGAAAGAGGTTTATATAGCACCTAAAAGGGTTCTTCTATTGCTACAAGTTTAACATTGTAACAATAGAAGAACCTTTTTGGAGCTAAATAGAACCATTTTCAAAACGGTGCTATAATGAACCATATACAACAAAAATTCTCCATCAATCTGAAGAACAATTTCATTATGCAAAGAACACTTTCAGCATGCAAAGGGTTCTGTAAGTGTTCACGAATATACATAGAACCATTTTCTTTACTAAAGAACCTTTGAAGAACCATCTTTTTTAGGAGTGTACATAATTAAGCTTGTTATCTTAGTTTGTTACAGTACTAAATAACTGGTAAACCAGTTAAACAGTATCTGTCAAACAGCACTGAAGCAAACTAGATGAAGTTTCACCGCATCTTTTCAAATTCACACTAACGCAGTGTTATTGACCAGCTCAAATGCTGGCTCTGAGTGACAGCACGATTGCCAGCTCTCACCGTTTTGGCATGAGATTTTTGGTCACTTCTTAAGCTCCCGCACTATGCAACAAAATCTCAAGCCAACCACCCAAACAAACAGCGCTGAAAATAAAAAAGCAAAAACACTGTGACTATTTTACACTACTTTGTCTTAATAATATCTAATTGGCTCACACACATCTGCTGCCAACAGTGATAGAGTAGTCACTCAAAAAATCCAGTGCAAATTACTAATTACTTCTCTCAAACTGCAAAAAATTACTTTGAACTTACTCAAGAACTTTTAAGCAGTGTAACAGTGGACAAGCACTTGCAAAAGGAGCGCAAAATGTAAAGATCTCACTCCAGTCTCACTCCAACCACCTGAAAATCTCACTCCAGCCACCTGAAAATCTCACTCCAACCACCTGAAAATCCATCCCTGGTGACTGGGTGGAGATGTAGCACCATCCTATCTCCCTAGAAGGCACAAGGCCAGTTATGCTCTCTTGAACTTCTGGTCATGGATATGTGTGGCTTGGACCACGTCAGGGCTAAAACCTACAACGCTGCACCCCTCAGGAGCCTCTTGCTTTTTGCATTTTGCTCTGTGAGTGAGAATTATATATATGGAGGGACACCAGATAACAAGTATACACTGGCTGGAGAAGGTTGGCACCCCCCTCAGACCTCCCAGATCATTGTCCTGTGTACAAGGTACCCGTTTTGTATCTCCTCAGAGTTTTTAAATGCACACAGCCTTTTATAAAAAAAGACACACATTACCAACAACTGGGAGAAAAAACACCTAGACCTAATATAAAATGATTGAGCTGAAAATGTTGCTGACACTGTGCTGGATCGGTTACAGCTGTCTGCGGGTTGTATAACGAACTGCCCAGCAGCTCTCCACTTTCATAAAGCTCTTGAATTGCCAGGAAAAGCCACACACTGCTCTAACCAGCTGCTCCAGGAGAAGAAGGACATTCAACGGACAGCAGACAGAAACAGAAGCACCTGTGACACCATAAGATTATCATCTCTTAGCTAGTCGGCTTATTTTAAAAGCAGAGCTCTGTTTGATATTCGTAATAAAAATTTTAGCTCATATTCCCTTCGGTCTTTTTCAGTAATGTAACACAGAACTTCAGATTAAACGTAAAAGTTTTTTTCAAACAGAAGGAAAATCCTCTGAGCAGAAACACTACTGAAGAGAATCTTCAAAAGGAAAACAGACTGAGTGAAAATGAGTGATGGAAAGTGGCATTTTGTCTAACGCTCTGCAAAACCACTAGTGGACCAAAAGCCAAGTGTGCGGCCAACAGTGGTCCGTTATCCTCTTGCTACCTCAGATGTGACGTGGCAGAGTTTATAATGTGAGCACAGAATCAGCGAAAACACACACACACACACACGCAGAACTATCACAACTTCATCACGTCCGCTCTTCTCTCTGATGCTAATGAACGTCTTGAGACTCGCCAAAGCCTTTCTGATGTTTGTCAGAAGAAAGCGGTGATCAGTTCAGCTGCCCCAGATATTACTGAGACGTTTGAGTGCAGGAATAAAAGGGTTTCTCCCTCTCCTCTCTCTCGGAACAGCGAGTTAAGCTGGGATGTGATCTTAGCTGTGATCCAGGGCTCTCTTACATAATCACCATCCCAATTATCCTCCTCTAAGCTCCACACACCCGCACATCTTCTTACCGCACTCCTTCTTGGGCTCGTCCGATCGATCCTTGCAGTCCTTGACATTATCGCACACCTTCGCGCCGTCTATACACTCCCCGTTTCGGCAGAGGAACTTCAAAGGGCCTTCACACTTTGTGGCTGTGGTGAATCAGACAAAACAGGCAGAAATTAGACTAAACAAAATAGAGAGAACAGACTAAACAGAATAACTTATTCCCTAATCTCAGTAATATCTCAGTAATATACACTATATACTATAGTGCTATGGTTGTAGGCACCCTTTTTCAAACGAAAATAAGTGGAAGAAGCACAAAATTAAGATATTTATTTAAAAATTCAATGTCAAGTTGAAAGCTAACCTTCTGCACATCTATTGTTAATTTATTCAGCTTAGTTTAGTTAAAAGTTCTCCATTTTTTAAAACTCACACTATTTACTACTGTGTCTCATTTAGGTCAGAAAAAACAGTTTAAGTTGAGACCTCAGTGAAGCTGGCCCCCCATGTGGTCAGAAATGTAATAAAAATACTACTATTTGTGTGTGTTGCGTTTGCGCTGGCAGCATTTTTGAGAAATTAAACATTGTATTTTATTACCTGTGACATCACTCCAGACCCCAAAAATGTCTAAATCACCTAAAAATGGTTTGTGCTGCATTTGTGCTGGGTTTTGCTGCAGGAATCATCTTTTGTGCTGGCAGCGTTTTTTGAGAAATTAAACATTATATTTTATTACATATGACATCACTCAACCCCCCATCGACGTCTAAATCACTAAAAACGGTCTCATTTGTTTTTGCTGTTAAAAGAAATGTTTGTGCTCTTTTACTTTGTAAGTTATTAAGCAATAATGTTTCGGTGAGTGACGAACCTCATCCCCCCATCTCCCCAAAACAGTTATCACTTGTAATGGGGGGCTGAGTGATGACATAACTTGATAATTAAAACAGCACAAACATCTCTTTCAATGGCACAAACCAGCACAAATGCAGCACAAACAAATGAGACCATTTTTGTGCGATGTAGACGTTGGGAGGCTGAGTGACGTCACAGGTAATAAAATATAATATTTTAATTTCTCAAAAACGATGATTCCTACAGCAAAACCCAGCACAAACGCAGCACCAATTCCATTTCTGACCACATGGGGGGCCAACTTCACAAAGGTTAAATTGAGCTTAATCAAAAAATTCTGAAAGTGAAATAGTTCCTTCTTGGGGGTGAGCGGACCCTCCTCTCAGATTCCTGACCATGAAGCTCTGAGGCATTACTGCCATTGACTTATGGTTTTCTCGTGATCAGGCAGTTAGATGGCTGCGCCACTCAGGAGGCATAAAGCCTTTTTTGACATTACTGCACATCTTCGCGCCATCTACACACTTCACGTTTCTGCAGAGGAACTTCAAAGGGTCTTCACACTTTATCCAAGAAAGAATGTAAATGTAAGTACATAAAGGCTGCGTTCACACAGCAGGTAAAAGTGGCCCAGATCCGACTTCCTCACCAAATCTGATTGTTTGGTTTGGCTGTTCAGATTATGTTTTAAATGTGATCTGTATGCGACATCAGTCTGAACAGATCGGCTCCTAAACCGACCCACATGCGCAAAAGAACAGAGCTTCACGCGGCTCATCCAGAGGTAAACAATCGGAGGATCAGCTTCATCTTCACCAGCATCACAGGAGCCATCATGAAGCTTCACTGACTGACAGCTGGGCTCATCACCCAGAATGTGTTTGAGCTCAACGTAAAAAGGGCGCGGTCACTTCTTTGATTTCGCGTCCTCGGATTCTTTAAACTTTGCTTTCACGCTTTTTAACTGTTCCATTTCTTTCGAAATCTCTTCAAACACGGAGGGTTTTGGATGAGTCTCTTCTAATTTTTTGTACAGAAACATCAGCTTAAATGTTTATGAGACTCAGCAGCGCAAAATTATGACAAATGTCGAGTTGGATTGACGTAAAAGTCACATGAATTCCGATCTGGCTGTTCAGACTGAGTCGCATTCCTGCATATCGGACTTCAATACTGCACAATACTGAAAGTGTCTTAAATCGGAATTGAAAATTTCAGATTCAGTGTGTTTTTTGCTGTTCACACTGACACACAGACACACATCTGTGTCACATACGAAGAAAAAGATCGGATTTGGGCCACTTTTACCTGCTTTGTGAACGTAGCCAAAGAGGCAACCACGTTCACGTTCTTTCTGAGTAAACTCAACTGTATTTTGTAGGGCTAACTTAAAATGTAAGTTAGGAGATCTTTGACTAAACTAAGTCTAATAACAGGGTGGTGGAAGGAGGAAATGAAACATGACATTACTGGTTAATATATTTGGTTAATATCTACTATTTTTGAGCTCACTGGTGCATGGTGATGTAACCAAAAATCAGACAATATTTTATTAGTAAAATGGTATGGAACGATGAGTCACGCTTTGTATGACCAGGGACATAAAATAACTGTATAAAAAGGTCAGTTTCAATTTCAGGTTGATATTACTTTTACTTTAGGTCAGAGTTTGGTTTTATTCACATATTTGAGTCTATTTAATTCAGTTACTTCCTTCAATTCAGTTAACAACTCTTGTCTTTTCAGCCCATGTCATTACTTTAAGTCTACCCAGCGTATTTCATCACACTGAGTATACTCAGTTCAGTCTTTTCAAAGTAGTTCATTAGTTAAGCTAATACATAAGCTCACTCACTTTAGTTTATTTTTTTGAGTTTACTCGATTCAGTGTTAAATATTAAAGATTAATTATATAATACTGTCATACTTGCTCACAAGTAGTGCCTCCGTCATACGGAAGCGAGCCAGAAGGACGTTCCATGGTGGTTCTCTCTGAGCTCGGTGGGGGTTTTGTGTATAAATATCAGCAGGAACGATGTTCTGTTGCACACAATTTCACCCCACTGCTTCCTAGATCAACACTGCATGAGGTCAGCACGTCCGAGTCAGCGGGGGCGGTCAAACGCGCACACTCACCGTTGACACAGCCAGCCTCGTCGCTCCTGTCCAAGCAGTCGAAGGCTTTGTTGCACTGTTTGATGCCGTGAATGCAGGAGCCATCCCCGCACTGGAACTCATCCGGACGACACGTCAGGAGCGCTGCAGTGGACAAACACATACACAGCTTAGAGCAGGGGTGTCGAACTCAACCACTATAAGGGCCATATTAAAAAACCTCAGCAAATCTGTGGGCCAGCTGTGTTTTTATTTCATTTTTACTTAACATTTTGCCATGACCCGAACGGGCCACTGTTTATTCAAAATATGCCAAAACTGCAACAGCAAAACAGGCACTGAATACTTATTAAAATTCATTATAAATAAAAATAAATTGTTTTAGGAAGCTTTTTTAAAATTTGCTTGTAATAGACACCAGGCATTGCTTTTTTTACCACGGACCAAGTGATTGTTGCTGGGGGTCAGAACACACACTATGCTGCAGTGCATGCCTGGGACTGTAGTGCATCACAGGGTGAAACGGGCTAATAATAATAGAAAATTAAAATAATTTCGCGGGCCTAATAGGACTGTGTCACGGGCCTGACCTGGCCCGCGGGCCTGGTGTTTGACACATGGGGCTTAGAGTAAGACACACAAAATTATCCTAATTTTAATAAAATAATTATCCAGAAAGAAGTTCTAATACAATTAACGTTCAGAATAAAATTCAGACAAAATTAACATGAGAAAGCCTCATATTTTAGAAAGTAGAGTTAAAATCTAAAGACAGACAAGAAATGACTGTAAGCAGACATTTATAGTACACTATTTATCATAATTTAACATTTTTTGTAGTTCTAAAAAATGAAATATTCAATAAAACACCTAGAAACACCTTTTGATGTACATTTTTAAATATTTCAATCAACACTGTAGAAGTATATGAAATAAATACGTAGTTATTAATATTAATGGTGGTGTACAAACACAAACACACACACACAGAGCTCCACTGGAGCTCCACTGATAATCAGAAACAGCGTAAATGAAGAGGAAATCAAACTCGTGTTTTAAAGGTCTTTTCCCCCCCAGTGAGCGCGCTCAGCACACACACTTCATTAACTGACACTGCAATGAATAAACAAGCAGTACCTATTTGTACACACACACACTCACACACACACACACACACACACACACAAACAGTGAGAAGAGAAACGGCATTAACACCTCTGTTCCACCCCAGAGAGTTCCTCTTCGTCACAGCGTCACACACATTCACCACTGGAGGTGTTAAACTGTATCTTGATGTTTGAGTCCAAATGTGGCCTTTCATCTGCATACATTTCGGAAAGAATTTGGAAGCCCTACTGTTGTGAAACTGGAAATTTTATGATGACTGAACTGTTTCCTAAAGAACCGTAAGTAAACTGAATCATTGAGTGTGTTTACATGCACTCAATAATCCGATCATAATCAGATTTCTGCAGCTATCACAGCACACTCCGATTTCTTTGATCAGAGTAAGGTCTAGAAATCCGATAAAGAGAGCTGGATTTTAGCTCAGTAGTCAGATTTCTCAGTGCATGTAAACTCTTACTCTGATTTCTTTCAGATTGCTCAGTCTGTGCATGTGCGAAACAGACCGCGGTACTGGAAATAAGCAAGCCGCGTTGCCACGAGATGCAGCAAAACACATTTGAAGCGACGCTTAAACTAAATACATGCTTGACGAAATGAAGGATTTAAATTTTCTTCATCTTCTAAATGATGTATGTTCATGTTTTCAGGTAAAGTGGCACAAAGCCGCAGCATGAAGTTTGAGTTTTATGCTATGTTTACGTCACGTCTTCTTCTGTGAGTTTATTGGCTGGTTGTAAAGCAGAAATCTGATTAACGCCTCATGTAGACCCCGAGTCTTCCCATTATCTGATTACTTAAGTGCATGTAAACGCGCCAATCAGATAACTAACAAAATCTGATTTTCTGCAGTTATCGGATTATTAAGCGCATGTAAATGCACTCTTTGTGAAATCAACAGTGGCAACAAGGCACTGAGTCATTTCCCGAAGAATCAGAGGCAAATCAAATCATTATAATAGGAAACTGAAAATTTCACAATGCATTGTTTCCTGAAGAATCATAACTGAATTGTGTTGAATCGTGATGAAATTGGTAATATTATGATGCACTGAACAATTTCCTAAAGAATTGTAAGCGAATCAAATTGTGGTGAAATTGAAAATTTCATGACAAAATGAATCATTTCATAAAGAATCATAATTGAATTGAATCACACTGAATTGTTTTACAAAGAATGTAACTGAATCGTGGTATAGCTGGAAATGGCACGATGCACTGAACTGTTTCGTAAAGAATCATATTGCAGTGAGGTCACTAATTCACACGTCTCGTCTGCTCAGGATGGCACACGGCAGAAGAAGGTCAGATAACTCCCCCAGGCTGAATCTGCCTTATCTGAGGCTGCTGCACCACCGGCCGGGTTACAGGCAATAAAAGCCCCTCAGCAGGGCAGAGACAGCGTCTGCACTATCAGATTCTCATCCTGCACAAACAAGCCATCTCACGTCAATCTGATTACAAACGCAGGCCGGGACTGGGCTGCCAGTGCTATCAGTGATGTGAACAGAGAATAAGAGGAGTTCATTTCATTTCTTAATGGAGTGCACTGCATGAAGAAAAGGCATATGTACATATCTGCACTTGCCATCCACTTTATTAGAAGCCCCTACCTTCTACTTCCACTTTATGAGCTCCGGCTTATAGGTCCACCGTATAGGTGCACTATTACAGAGTCCATCTAAACAATATTAAATAAATTGAGAAAAGAATTGTAATTGAATTGCAGTGACTGGAAATTTCATGATGCATTGAATTGGTGCTTAAAGAATCACAATCAAATCGGATTGAATTGTGGTGAAATGGAAATTTCATGATACTTTGAATTGTTTCCTAAAGAAGCATAACTGAATCAAGGTTAATCGCCAAATTCATGATGCATTGAATCATTTCCTATCAAATCTTAATCGAATCTTAATTGAATTGTAGTTAATTGAAAATTTGATGCTGCATAGAATCGTTTCCTAAAGAATCGTAATGAAATCGAATCATTGTGAACTGGAAAAGCCATGATAAACTGAATCATTTCCTAAAAGATATTTATGGTGAATCAGAAATTTCATGATGCATCGAATCGTTTCCTAAAAATTCATGACTGAATTGCGGTGGACTGGAAATTTCATGATGCACTGAATCAGTGTTTACAGAACTGCAATAGAATCGAATTGATTCGTGGTGAATTGACAATTTCAGGATGCTTTGAATTGTTTCCTAAAGAAGCGTAACTGAATGGAGGTTAAGTGTAAAACCTGTGATGCATTGAATCATTTCCTAAAGAATCATAATCAAATTGTGGTGAATTAAAAATTTAATGCTGCATAGAATTGTTCCCTAAAGAATTGTAATGAAATTGAATCACTGTAAATTGAAAAAGTAATGAAACACTGAATCATTTCCTAAAGGGTCTTTACTGAATCATGGTGAATCAGAAATTTCATTAAGCATCGAATCGTTTCCTAAAGAATCATAATCGAATTGCAGTTAATTGGAAATTTCATGATGCATTGAATTGTTTCCTGAAGTATCATAATTTAACTGAATTAAGTCATGATGACATTGGAATTTTGATGATGCACCAAATCAATCCCTAAGGAATTGTAATTAAATCAAAATTGGATATTTCATGAAACGTTGAATCGTTTCTTAAAATATCATAAACAAATAGGTGTTGAATTAGGTATTTTCATGATGCACTGAATCATTTTCTAAAGATTCTATTCAAACTGTGGTGAAGCTGGGAATTTCAAGATACAGTGAATTGTTTCCTAAAGTAATGTAACTGAATCAAATCAAATAAAAAATTGTTCAAATCAGCTCACTAACCATGACATGTTTTAGCAGGGACATAACTAAACCGCTGGACACTGGCCCTTCAGGACCGGAATTCATAAATGAAATGAAAGAGCTGGTCATTCATGCTGAGGACGTCAGGATGTCTTGTGTAGAGAGACTTTCATGGTGAGTGACTGAATCCTGGTCAAATCCCGTTTAAGTGCTGCAGTGTGAATGTGAGGGAACATCACCGGTAAAGGTATGCCAGCAGCGTGCCGGGTTCTGAGTGTGAAAATGGCTTCAAAGCTCAAATACAAAACGCTGATTGTGAGTCTCCATATGAATGAGTTTCGAACCGAACTGCAGGTGTCACCTCCCGCTGAACCCCCGCTGAGCTCTAACTGTGTTCAAGGGCTCTCAGCTGCCCAAGGACACACGGCAAGAGGTTGCCTAGCAACCCTCGGCCAACTGCACGTGCCTCTCCGCCGGCTGGCGTCCCTTTTCTCTTGGGCTGGTGTGACACGGTAAGTGACCTATCTCAGTGTACGTCCCCCCTGGTTTAGAAAAGAGGCGAGAGGCGAGTCCGAGGCAGGACTTTCAGAGTGATAGCCCTACAGCAGCTCACCTGAGAGAGATCACAACCCCTTAAAAACCCCTTAATAACCCCTTAAAAGGCTTAGCGTTCAGTCATTAATCTTAAGATTTATCTGCTGTGAATTATTAGGCCTTGCTATATAGATAATAATAAAAAGGTGCATATATTTAACAGAAAACTTTCAGTATTCATTGTGTCCACTCTTGTATTGCAGCTCACTTTCAGCTGCAGAAATCTGGAGGGATATTTTTATTTATTTCAGAAGTTGGCTGCACGTTCTGCTCCTCACGATCCAAGCAATCCCAAACACATTAAGTGATGCTGAAGTCTGGACTCTGGGGTGGTCAGTCCATTGTTGTGAGAACACCAGCAGCTTCTTTGTTTAATTTCTTCTTTTTAGTCTGTTACCTTTTCTCAGTAACAGCTTCCTGAAGTGATGCATTGTGCATTATGCATCCATAAACCTCAGCTGCAGCAATGCGGCCTGCAGGAATTTCCCATCGCGCCACATCTGCTGTCTTCCTTCTGGTTCTGCATCTCAAAGACGAGGCCAGAACTGACGACGGCTGCGTTTGGCTGGACGGCTTCAGAGACGCCTGCCTGCAGCGGTTGAAGTGATTGATTGGATCGCTCCTTCAGGCATTCCAGGCTT